TTTAGGTTTGTGTGTAAGCATGCTATCAGATTACAAAGTGCAGCTGAAGCTGATGGGAATGACATTAGTTTATCTGGCATTTGGTCATAAATCACAATATTGGACAAACTGATATTTTGACCAGATGATACAGACTAGAGTCTATTAGTGGAACAGACGTGAACTCCTCATTACTCAATAAACCACATTACTAAATCCTTAAAAGGAGAGCAACCTGCAAAACCAATGGCCAAGCAATTTAAAATACATTTTTAAAAGTCTGGTTGTGTTCCATTTGGTTTCGACAAATAATCCTTCCGTAAATTGGACTTTTATATTTATCGTCAGGAAAAAAACTAATTTAATTAGGCATTGTTAGGTAAATTTGCCAAGATGGTTTTACAAGTACATAGCCTATACAGTAGTTAGGAATGAAAATCATGCATATTTTGTGACTCATGAGGCAGACAGAGCCTTATTAACCAAGTCTGTCTCACTAGTACTCAGCTCTCTTGTTTACATGTGTGCAAAGGATATAAAGCTGAATCATAGAAGTAGACTGTCAGAAAGAGTACAGAGTGCCTGAAAGCTTAAAGTGCCTCTTCAGAGAGAAACCCACTGCCAGCACCATGAATCATAAAATTCAAAAGGGAAAAAGAGAGTGACTCATAAGACTGAAATCATCCAGTTGCTGCGTGCATGCAAAAACACAATAGTGCAAAAAGAAAATTGACAGGGAGAAAGAGGGGGCAGAGTGATAACAGCAGTATGTCTACGTCATCGGTGAAAGAGTAACCAGACCCTTGGGGAGGAGGGGATAAATAAAGGAGCGAGGAGTGTGGGTAATATTACCCACATCTCCCCGTAGCTTGTGGCCTTGCTGCCTGTCATGCTCTGCTGGGCAGTGATGTCACTCAGACGACAGCGAGGCTCGCTCGCGCTGCTCCACATACACAAACACACAAAGAACTGCACATAAACTGCAGATGCTTCATTACTAAAAACACCACATATGTATTTATACACACACAAACACGCTTTGATTCTCATTGATCTACCCGGTCGATAATTCAAAGCACGCTTCACTTATAGCCTGATATGTTTTTGTTCTTTTTCTGCATCTGTGGCTGCACTGGCATCCACCCTTTCCCTAAAATTTTGAGTCTAACTTCAGCAGCTATAGAAAGAGACAGAGGGCAGCAGGGTGGAAATAAGATTCAGGTTTCCTCCCATTCCAACAACAAGGTTAAATCGCACACTTGTGTACTTCAAAAGCTCTCCCTAAATATAGGAAAGGAGGAGAGAGAGAAAGAGAGGACAAGGATTTGACTGGTTTGCATCCATATATAACCTCACTGCCTCACTGCTAGCAAGAACATGGTGTCACACTGAACTGTGTCCCTGTTTTCAACCCTAGTTCTGCCCCCTCAGCACTTTAGTCATTTGCTATAAATAGGCATACACACACACCACAGCCAATAGCCCATTTTGTCTGTCTACTTTTAGTTTTTTAGCTAAAGAGATTTAAGCTGCGATGAGGCCTCACCTGCAGGCTTGTGTTGTGTTTACAGTGTGCACAGCGCGCTCTAAGAATGCTGTGTTGCTTTCCTGTATTGGCTCAGAAAATGCTTAGTCCAGCCCATCACAGTGAAATACTGCGCACCTCCGCGGGAGGCCAAAGGCACTCTCACCAGGGCCGGGGGAGGCTTTTAAATCACGTGCGTTCAAATGTGCACACACACACTCACCCATGTAGTGCAAGTAGAAAGGGACAGACAGAGGCACATACTGTGTGTTATTGTACTGTGTGATTAAGTGAACCTATTTTCTAAAATAAAACACCTGTCCTACCGTATGAACGGTTCAGGACGTCGTGGCCTAGTATTACAGTAAGCAGCCATCTTAAGACACATGTATATAGAAGGTTAATTTTTTAAAGGTTGGATCCTTGATAAACTCCCTTTCCTGCCCATTTTGTCTCTACATATTAAATGTATTTTGTATTGCCTGATAGAAAAGCTTCACTCTGTTAGTGAAACAGTGACGTGATTGTGTGACCTGCTATATCTATAACAAACAGCAAAGGACTGCCTGTGAATGTACACACAAGAGAAAATGCATACTGTGGTTCAATCAGAGAGTGTGGGATTGACTGTGTGTGTGTGTGTGTGTGTGTGTGTTCTCTGTAGCTGTAGAATTTAGTAGTTCTCTCATTTTGGTGGGCTGTGTGTGTGAATGTTGGAAGAACAGCTCCATCAGGTTGGTTTGCTCTGGCAGGGAGCAAGTGATTGATTTTACATTTCTGGCAGTAGCACCAGGCATCATTTGGAATGAACAGAAGAAGATCCTGTAGTTAAGATGAGGAATGAGTCACGGCGGCTTAACAGACAAAACAGAAGCAGTGGTACCAACAAGCACTCACATACTAAATCCCAGGGAAGATATCACAGCCCTGCCAATAGTGTTTGTGGAGGACTGATAGGAGCCCTGAAGCACTGACTGCTAATGATCAAATATTTGAGACCATGCACTGCATGCAGAGGTGGAGTACCGATAGTATGTCCTCTCTCTCTGTTGACTTCCTCCCTCCTCCTCCCTCCTCCTCCTTCATGGATTTCTTACCTATCTCACTTTGCTTTCATCCAGCCCCCTTTTTTTGAAATGTCTCCAAAATAAATCAACACACTGCTACACCACCGCTATGCTGACATACCACAGATATCCTTGAAACCATCACATCTATGAACTGCACCTCACGGATGCACTTCATAAGGATATGCATGTTATGAAGTTGTTATACAGAAGAGAGAATATATATATATATATATATATATATATATATATATATAAAAAGCAGCAACATTGTCCTTCTCCTTTCTTTCCACTGAAAATGTTCCGTCCTTGTCTTCCCCTCTCTGAAGTTCTTTCTGGATATCGGCATACCAAACACAGGTTATGACTTTCATGTCAAACAGCACCCAACACAAAATAGGGACCTCGCTTTAAGTGATACATTTTCTGCGATCACTAGTAACTAACAGAGAACAAAGCACATCAAAACATTTGACCGCTGATGTGTGGATCGACTTCTGTGAAGCAGAGAGGGACAGTGACTCAAAGGAGGCAGCTGGGAATGGTACACAGCTGAACCCTGTCTCCGCATTTTGGGACACATTGGGTTTATATAATACCGTCATCCATGTCTAAATTGAGCTTCCGTACTTCCATCCAATGAGCCTTGTGAGCACAACGCAACAAGTTAAATCTCCCGTTCTTTGTCTAACAGGGCTGCAACAATTATTTTCGTTATCATCTATAGTAATCTGTCCAACATTTTTCTTGATTAATTCACAAGTTGTTTCATCTATAAAATGTCAGAAAATAGTGAAAAATATCGATTGCTGCTTCCCAAAACCCACAGTGAAGTCCTCAAATGTTAAAGATACTCAATGTACTAAAGAAACCAGAAAATAGTCACATTTGAGAAGCTTAAATCAGAGGATTTTGGACATTTTTTCTTAAAAAATTAAGTTAATCAAATATCGAAGTTGGTAAATAATAGAATAATAGACTTATCGTCGCAGTTCTATTGTCTATCCATGTCTATCCAAGCCTATCCAAGCTTGGCATGTTACAGTCTCAAGAATCCCCTGTCTGGGCTTCAACGCACTCCGTGACGTCAAAAACCTCTTTGTATGTGTGTGCAGGCCTCGCTGTCAGCCCCCGCATGGCTTAAGAGGAGGAGGAGTGGATGAGGTGGGACTGAGGGACAAAGAGAGAGACGGAGGTGGGAGGTGGGCTTTACGCTGTGATGTAATTTCATGGAAATTGTTATGTGTGGTGATGCTGCATCCTACAAAAGCAGTGAACAGCACAGCCTCCTGCTGGCCAAGGAATAGACCACATGAACACAGCACAGACTGTATCAAACTAGAGAAATCTGATGTTTGTGTTGCCACTTTACATTTAGCAACAGTGTTTCTTCATCTTAAGCACCGACAAGCCTTTGTTCTTTGAGCAGACTGATATATGCCATATAGGAGCAAGAGGATATAATTAGAATATATTGAGTGGATTCACAGTTTTTTTTCATTATACTAATTATTTGGTTGTCCTGCAACCTAAGAATCCCATGCAGAGTCTACATGGGCTGTGAGCAGGATGATGGCATGAAACACAGATGAATAAAAGCTTGCTCTTCTACATCATGTCTTTTGTTACCAGAGATGAGAATCATATTTGAATATGACCGCTGTGGAACTGAGAGGACACGTCTGCCTATTTTGGAAACTACACATACAGCGCCATCTGGTGGAAATATGGGCAATTATTTTCAGGGAGTCAATTGTTTTATGCATTTTGGGCATTAAAATGTCATCAACTAAACCTGAATATTTTCAGTTCTAAAGGGTGGATTTGTCATTTGGCTGTGTTAAGGGATGCAGTAAGTAGTGGGATGGATCTCATGTTGCTGAGTCATAGAAATACTTCTGCATGTGTTCCCGAAGATGTAGTTGGGTCAGTGTTTGTATGTCAAAGATTAGCTTTTTAAAGACATCAGTGTACTGTAGGATTATGGTTTTGGTCACTTAAAGGCCCTGAAAAGCTTCCAGTAATTTCTTTATATTTATTATTCATGGCGAAGATACAAAAATATTTTTTTGTATAATTTATTGAGAGTTTCACACTCAAAAAGTCAACCAATCTGCTTTATTAGGACTGTGTGGGTATGGTTTTACCAGATTTGATTGACAGCAACATAATCAAACCATCATCAGATTCCTGATTGGTGTGCAGAAGTGACATCACCCTTTCAATGAAGCCCTGCCCACTTTAAATCAGTGAAATAACCAAAACTGTTCTAGCTTTGTCAGAAAATATTGTACTCATGTTCGACCCTATCACTTGTAATAAGAAGCTGATAGAGAAAATATGTTTTCTGTGCCTTTAATATAATCTGCCACATCTTTCAGTGAAAAGAATAAATGGATTTAATAAAAATGAGACATGATAACAGAAACTTCTCCATGAAACTGAGTTTAATAGATTGTTAAAAATAAGGCTATATGATGCTGTTCTAGCAAACATTGGCCAGGAGGAACCACCGTTATGGCAGCCAGATACACCCGGTACAACGGGTAAATGTGGCCAGTCTCTGGGGTATTACAGATGGACATACAGTGAGCACACATACACCGCACATTTGCAAAAATCAAACACACACTGACAAATGTGTCTTGCGTTCAAACTCCTACATGTAAACATGTACTGTACACACAAACACACACATAGACATCCACCCCACCCAAAACGGTGGTAATAAATGGAGATTTAGCTGAAATAATAGCAGTGTTCTCTTAAAAAAAACATGCATAGCTTAGTACATGAATGTGTTGTTTGAAAACCAAGTTACTGTTTGCACACTTTGATCTCATGGTTTGTCAAAAATTTCCAACATGATTACATCAATTTCTTTTATTTAACCATTATTAACAATCACGTAAACTCGTTGGACTATTTTGTGTACAATAGCCTCCTATTATATTTTGCTCATGTAGAAAGTTACATTCTGAACCCAGATAGGCTCGATAACAAAAGGAAATAAATACTAAATACTGGAATGGCAAAAAACACAATATAAAGTTACTATTTTGAAATGGACAGAAGACCAATCTTGGCCCAACTTCTCAGATATAAAAACAAATGAAAACACCTGCTTAATATTGGTATCCTGCTACGGTGTTACAGTCTTCCTCAAAATACTCATTAATTAACAAAAGTGTCTCGCACATGAATACAAAATACACACGATGCCCAAAATAATGACAAAAACAAATGTATTTGTAATGATAAAATAAGGAATGATGAAGCAATCAGGAGATACTCTCTTTAGTGCTGTGTGCATGTCCATCAGAAGGTGCCACACAAAAATGTTTTTAGTCAGATTCCCTTATTCAAGCCTATTTCCCAATGAGATGACACCCTGAAAATACACATGTATACCCCTTAAATTAGACTCACGAGACATTTCAAGTTAGAAACTAATGAAACAGTCAGTTTCACGGCGCTTGTTTTTTCATCCTTTGGTTACTGGGGGTGACACCTCGCTAGAAATGTATGTAAATTTTATTCCCTTCACACAATTAGCATACAGTAGTGTAGTGTATATTACCATCGGTGTTCTTCCAAACCTCAAGCGACTAACATGTAACATTTTAAAGTGCCAATGAGCTGAAGCAAACAGGAAGCGCCACACACCGGTGGCACAGGCAGATTTTTCCTCACACAACAGACGAGGGGGTTTAGCTTTAAAACGTCCGAGCAGGCGCACACACACGCGCACACACTTGGACGAGGATACAGGATTTCCCCATGCAGGCTAATGCTAACCTACAGTATAGTAAGCTGGTTCTTCTAGTCACAGGAAACCTTTTAAGTACCCAAACTGCTTAGACATTATTCATATCACTAAACATAAAACCTGTGGCAAACAGGGCTCGGTGTCATTCATTATTAATATAACCCTCTCAAGCAATATTTCATCGTACAGCTTTTGCTGAGTAAAAGCACATTTAATTTACCACTGGTACGTGCAAGCTGCTTTTCTAATAATCAGACAATACAGTGGAGTAATCAGCCTCAGAAAACACATTCAAAGAATTGAACCTTTTGAAATTTTGTATACATTTTGAATTGTGGATATGGTATTTCGACACCTGGCCCCTAATGGAAAAGATAATAAAAATGCTCAACACAGGAAAAGACTTCAGTGAATGCCTACACACACACCTGATGCTCACACACATACAGACATGTGGTTTACAAATGTAAAATTCTTATGTGGATAATATAAAATATACTTCAGTTCCACTTAAAACGTCCTATTTCCTTTTTTTAATGCTTCAAGCACTTCTTTCCCTTTTATCTTTCACATCTAAACCCTTTTTCTGGGAGACGAACAACGTCGGTACATTACCTGATCAAACTAACTCCTTTAGTCGCGTGGACTTGGCCTTTTTCCCTGTGTGCACCAGCTTTTCCAACATGCAACCTATTAGAGGGTTACACTTGGACCTTGGACGTATTCTTTAAGTTAACATTTCAAATTCATAAAGAATAAACTGTACAAAAAATGGACTAAAAATAATTGTTGTTTTTTTTTACAAAGTAGTCAATTAATCAGGCATTAAGAACAATCAGTAATATCAAATTAAAAACTTTGAGAAGGGCATGCGGGGGTTGTTGGCGTCAACACAACAGTCTTTTTTTTGTTTTTTCAATCATTAGAGGTTGTGACCTGCCAGACGATGAGGTGGCTCTGCTCGGCCTTGGTGGGTGCTGATTGCTGGTTGGCCGTTGGCTCTGATAAACCGTCCAACTCACCGACATCATCACCTGAGGAGGAAAACGATGAGTCAAACAAACTCCAGATGGAGACACTGGGCCTTTAAACCAGTTTTAATAGTCAGACACTAGAGCATAGTAACAGAGCTATATTACTTTCCACATGGATTCAAATGAATCCTTTAATATTTTGCTTTTGAGAGGAAAGATGAATGCTCCACCTGAGTGAATCCATTTTGCACAACCTCTGTGCTTCATCAGAGGTGTGATATACTCACCCATTCTGAAGTCAATGTAGCCTTCGCCTCCACTCATGACAAGGTATGTTTTGGGCTCAGAGGACGCCGTGTCAGAGGACTCAGATGCGGGGTCGTCAGAGCCTGAATCTGCACTGCCTGGAGGGGGCATGGCCTGACCTGTGACAAAAATAGACCAAGAGTCAAAAAACATTTTTCATTTAATGTAACAAGAACGGAGAAAAAACTGTGATTAGGGAACAGCTGCAATTTTTACTCCATAATTGACTTAATAGGTCAAAGCATTCATCAATTTATTTTGGGCTGCAATTAATAATTTTCATTATCAATTAATCTGGTGACTATTTTCCGCCCTATTCGCACGGGACTAGTATTACCTGGGGACCTCATGTGATTTAGTAATTACCCCACCACGTCTGTGTTTCGTGTGGTGCATTCGCACGGGATAAACGAAGTCTGTGTTTTAACTCGAATTTACTGACATTATCCCCCGGATATGATGCCAAGGCTCTGCGTAACCTATGCGTAACAGTCTGTTACTGATCTACCGTCGGGCCCGCGGAACACCGTGCACTCCTCTATGCTGCCGAACGGCTCGAACATCTTTCTCACATCAGTGTCCGTCTGCTGTTTTCCCAGCATGCCCACAAACATCAAAATGCTGTCAAAACTTTAATTTATAATTGCCAACGCAGCCTTCATAATTCTCGACCGGGAAAAAGACAGAAAAAAGGCGCCGCAAACACAAAAAACCTTAAAAAAAACAAAAAACGACCCCAAATCACAGAGATGCCGATTCGCACGGGACTAATATTATCACATGACCTCTGTGTTTGGTGAAATATGGTAGGTAATTTGCGGTGGAATTTTTACTTTACGAATTACGGACATGGCTGATTCGCACGGGATTAAGATCACAGACGACCTCCGCAATTATTACAAATTACTAGAGGTCCCCAGGTAATACTAGTCCCGTGCGAATAGGGCTTTAGTCTATGAAATGTGAAAATGTAGTAAAACCAGCAGTCTACAACCCAAAGATATTCAATTTACACTGATAAAGCCAACCATTTTTGGTATTTTTGCTTGAAAAATGACTTAAACATTAATTTTTCTCCAATTGATCAAATGCTCTAGCTCTACATAAATGTCACAAATATGAATTCAGTAATTTGAGTGAACCTGGCAATTTGCATTTTGCAGCATTTGTCACCGTCTCTGCCACTTGATGCCACCAACCTGACACCATTTGTCTGCTCTCGTCACTTACCTGGCACGGTGGCAAAAAACTTGACAGCATCTCGATGCCCATGGAAACACAGCTGGGCGTGGGCCATGGAGCAGTATGGAACGAAGCTGCCTGGCATGGCACAGTCTGAACTGTCATCACCGTAAACCCGAACAGCACTGCCGGGCCGATTTGGCACTATTCCCGTCGTCTTGTTGGCTGCAGAATAAAAAAGGAAAGAAATTAATAAAAGCCACTGACGTCACAATGTGCGTTTTATCTTTCATTCCTCTATTTTGCTGTGCTGTATTGAAGCAGGGAAGACGAGAGACTTCAAAACAGGTCTGTGGGGGAAGGGGACTGAGCACAAGACAGAAGGTAAGGTCATGGTGTGAGACGATCAAATCTTAGGTTGAGAGCAGGAAATGTACAACCGAGTGTGAAAACTGATTTCCCATCCAGAAAATTAGACAAAGCAGGGTTATGACTGCACACAGTCCCTTAGACAGACAGCAGAGCGGTCAGTCTGACAACAGAGGAGTGCGTTAGCTCTCAATGTTTTTGAAAGCGTAAACAAAGTGAGACATCCATGCGAAAAGAGAGCTCTGTGCTTCTGACCACAGAGTGGAGCCTGTGGGAGAGAAGCTAAAAGGTTAAACAGAAACAAGACCCAGCTCTTTCTCACATATTCACACTCCATGACAAGACAGAAAACAAGAAGCACAGCGAACTGTTCGGAAGAGACGAAAAAGAAAAAAGAATATGGAGACGAGGGACAGGCTGCCAGTCACCAAAACTAGCTTACATGCTCACAAAAGTTTTAATATTTAAAAGAGAGCAGCACTCCTCAATTTCAAATGAGAACAGTATGAACCTGCCAAACTGTGATGTGCAAGCTACACAGTGACTGTGAGACCTGCGTCCATGGCAACCTGGTTGTCTTGGTAAGGTAAGTTTTGCTTAGCTTAGCACGAAGACTGTAAATAAGAGGAAACAGCTAGGCTCGCTCTGTTCAAAAGGTAACAAAAGTTGCCTACTGACCACTCTAAAGCTCACCAATTAACATATTACATAATGTTTGTTTAATTCGTACACACAACAAAGTGTAAAACAACGTGTTGGGGTTTTAAAGTGGGTTATGTTGTGGACTATTTCTAGATCTGAAGAAGAAAACTTGACTGCTTGAACTGCTTGAAGCCACACACTGTCAGAGACGAAACACAGGTAAACATAAATTCATTCTTACTCAAGATCACAGAGGTCAGACAATAAAGAGTTTCGGGTGTGTGATACCTTCAGACAGCGGGATGGAGATGATGACGCCGTTTCCTGTCCCAACCCACAGTCGGCTGCAGGACACCATCAGAGCTGTGATTCTCACAAACGAGAAGCCCAGTTTACCTGTACCTGCAACACACACACACACAGAACACACACTTGTTTGCTGTTTCTGTCCATGTGCAAAAGATCTGGAGGACTACTACTACTTAAAATATACAGATAATGGTCTAAAAATATTTCTTGCTGCCTTCATACAGAAACTCCAGACAGTGATTATTTCACACTAAAGAGTAAAAAAAAACTGTTCTGGTCAGATAAAAGTCAGAGAAGCGATAAGGATTTAAGAAAAGTATGCATACCCAACATCTTGCTGACGTAGGGCTCGATGTCCACGTCCTGGAGGTGCTGGTAGGTGTGGGCGTGAAACAAGCGTAGAGTTGAATCCAGTCGGATGGACACCCAGATACCGTCTCCAACCCAGGCCAGCTGCCGCACCTGACTCTCCTTACGAGGATGAGCGTCAAACGACTTCTTCTCAGACAAAAGACAGATTGAGATGTTGTGATGTTAGAATATTGTGCTAAATGGATTTTCAAATGTTGTAGATAAAAGCTAAGTTTAAATGATATTACAAAAGGTAGAATAGGTTGTGGTTTGACTGTAAAAGAAACAACATTTATTCAATAAAATCTCAGCTGTACCTCTATCCTCATTGCCTTCGGCTGAATAACGTAGATCTTGTTTCTGTAGCCGCACCACACCTTGTCATGGACTACCGTCATACAGCGGATAGAGTGGTGGGGCCGACCCAGATCCAACAGGTGGTAGTTGGTTAAATCCCACTGACCGTCTGCTTAGGAGAAACAAACTTTACTTTAGACTGGATGAGCTTTGTGACATAAAATAGCCATCAGAGGTTTTGACAAAAAGTGTAAATACTATAAAAACATCAAACAGCGTGTTATTTATAGCTTCCTCAACTACAAAGAGTGCAAACCACAGACTTACCAATGCCTCTGTGGAAAATTGCTAATGTCCCATCAGCCAAAGCTACAAGGACTCTCCCTTTAACATGCCTGTAACAAGAGATAAACATTAAGATTTTTTCATGTATATTTGGTGTGTGTGTGTGTCCTCAACCAACTTTATATAATTTATATACACGTTTGCAGTACATAACTTGTTTTTCCTTTTCCTATTTTCTCTTACTCTGTGTAATGTTACTGTGTAATACCAAGGCAAATTCATTGTATGTGAGGACTTAATTAGCAATAAAGCTGATTCTGACTTTGTACTCACACTATGCTGAGGATCGAGTCTTTCAGCTTGATGGCATGGAGACACTTCCTCCATCGAGCCACGGATGAGTGGACATAAAGACTGAAGAGTGAGAAATGAAGAAAGGCAGATTAGAGTGCAACACTGGATATCAAACTAAATGAGAAAAATAAGTAATAATAACAATAATAATAAGTAATAGTATAACGGAACGGATACATTTACTCAGAATGACATTTGATATAAGCATTATTACACAAAAACTTCTTACAGTCTCTTTTTAAGCTGCCACATTGTCAGTGTTAAAATGTAGTGTCTTCCATGTTTTTAAGATGTTTTTATGTTGATTTTGTTATTGTTTTTTGATGTGTGTCTGTTGTTGAGGTATGCCTGTTTCTGTGAAGCAACAAACTGTTGCACTGTGCCCAAGACAAATTTCCCCTCGGGGCCAATTAAGTTTTTTCTATTCTTCTATTCTAAAACAGGCAGGCACATATTAAAAAGCACAGTAAGTGCTCACGCCAGTACAAATGTCAAAAGACAAATTGGGAAAAGCTTCATGAGGAACAGTAAAATGTTTATCAAATACAATTTTATCAATTGAATGAATCTCTCTTTATAACATTCTATTTATTTTGCCACCCCTGACATTTTGCTTCAGCACTAATAGCACCCTCTAGTGGCTGTTGTCCTGCTTACCATCCATTCTGAGCTCCCAGCCACATGGTGGGGAGGGCGCTGCTCATCCTCAGGACTTCCCCCTCTGATGGGTCAGAGTCATCTGGCAGGGAAGTCACGCCATCCTGCCCGGAGCCCCTGGATCAAAGCGGGGGCAGAAGATTCATTCGTTTTTTTAAGTGCAATGCACAATTTGCACATCTGATCCATTATATATCATAAATAACATATCACTGTTACCAGGGCTGCTCTTATTAACATTTCCTCAGAATGATAAATATATCGATGTTTTCATTCTGTAATGTAAAAATTTTACACTGAAACTGTTTTGTACATATACGTAACAGCAGACTATACATGATGTCAATGGTTTAGAGGTAAAATGCAAACAAAGTTGACTACTGACTTCAACACTCCAGTTTATCATTAGCTGCAGTAGCTAATTTTGGTGCTGTGCAGACTTTAAAATGTTCAAATCAAGTCTCTTTTTAATAAAAACCTGTTGGCTTTATTTTCCTAAATCTTTATTTTACTCAAACCGCAGACAGTTTTAGAAGTGATGATCTAAAACATTTTCGCTCACCTCTGTGCGTCAGAGGGAGAGGAGTCCGTGGGTCCCACACCCAGTGGGTCGGTGAACACATGCTCCGTGTAGATTCCTGGCTGGTTTTGATCCGCTCCCTGGTCCTCCTCTCCTTCTTCGCCCACACCAGCGTTAGCCTCTGTCGCTTCTGTTGCCTCTTCTGCTGTAGGAACGCCGTCTTCTGCTGGGCTGGTCTCTCTGGACAGCTCAACTGCAGGTATTGACACAGTGTTAATCAAAGGGGAAATAATCCAGTCCCACTATGAGCATGTTCACATGAAAAAGGTGGAGTTCTTAATCACAGCAGATCACATACAACATCCATTAATTAGAATTGTTCAATTCAATTTTTAAAACGATGCAAAAAAACAACAATGTTGTAATGTGGGGATGTACAGCAGCTAAGGAAACAAGCCCCACTCGAATCAAGTCACTCATCTTGTGTGGAATCCTTTTCCCATAGTATCTCATATGAGAAGAAGGAGCCCAGTGATAAGACATCACATTTCCAAACATATGGTGTCTTTTGTAGTTTGTTATTAAGAAAAAAAACTATTAAAATCATAAATGCATGGTCAAAACATTTTATTTTCAGCCCTAGTTTCAAGTAAGTGTGGATTATTGAAAGATAATACATTTATTTCCATAGAGACATTAAGGTGCTCTTTTGTCACATGATAAACAAATATAAAAACTATAATTGAAGGCTGTATCTACTGCCAAAGCAGAAAGGAAAACTATAAATACTTGAAATAGTGCAAAACAAGTGAGGAAAAGAAATTAATGCCCGATGGTTAATTTGACTAAAACGTTGCATCTATAATTTACTTAGTTCATTACTGTGTGTGTGGATATAGTTTCTAATATAAAGCAACAGTAGGTTTACTTTATATTTCAAATTATCATCTCATTCAGTCTAAAAAGATTCAATACTCAAAGTGACATCATGTTACACTGTCAGGAATCCTGCTGGGGAAAGAGCAAACTTGCAATCAAGATGCAGCTATAATCCCTGTTATTTAGGCTTTTAGTGTGGCAAATGATTATGTTTTAAACCTAGAGTGGACACATAGACATAATTATAGACTCTACTGATAGATTAAAAAGGCTTTTGCTCTTTATTTCTTGTCATTTTGTCTCAAAGTCAGTACCTCTGTCCATGTTGGGATTCTGTAGGAATGTAAATGAATCTATCTGGCTAATCTGCTCCAGAGCAGGTTAGCCGTGCAGCATAGTTTACCAATGTGATCTACCTAAATTAAGAGTGAGCCATAATACCTAAGACAAAGGGCCAGTATGTAGGATTTACTGGCATTTAGCTGTCAAGCTGCAGATTGCCACTTACTGAGAACTTGGCTTTCAAAATGTGAAGGAGAAACTATGGTGGCCACAAAACTTGTGCCAGCAGACGTTAGCAGTACGGCTGCAAAACAAATAAGGACAAAGCATTTTCTCAGCTGAGAACTACCTGAGCCGGAGATGCCGCTGTGCTCAGCTGGCTGGTCAGTGGAACCTGAGGTGGCTGTCTGGGGGATCGCAGTGGTTCCCTCTGCTGCCATGTTGCTGTCGCTGCCTGCTGAGCTCACACTGGCCACACTGCCAGCCAGTGACACCCCGTCACCTTGGCCAGCCTCGGAGTCTTGCGGTACCTCCTCACCTGCCGGAAAATCAGTCTCCAGCACACCTGAAAAAAACAATACAAACCTTACAGTCAAAGCTTAGTGCTGATAGAATAGAAAAGAAAGGATGCAGTCATAGAGAAAAAACAAAGAAACCCACACAAACACACACTCAGCCTACCTGGCACACTGGCAATGCAGACCACATGGGTGTTGCAGGCATAGAAGCTGTCAAGTAGGTCAGAGGGCTGACTGGCGTCCAGCACCATAACCTTGGTGGAGGAGTGGGTGCTGGTGCACACCCAGACCCTGCTTGACATCTCGTCCTGATGGACCAGCTCCTTCTCCTGCTCCCCTTTCTCCTGATCCTGACAGACAACACAAAATCAGCAAACAGAACTTTAACCAAATTTTGGAGAACCTTCTTAGCTCACAAAACTACTGAGAGTAATATCCATTTAACAATGATAACAATACAACATCACAACATGATAACTACAGCCTCTTCCTTTAATGACTTACTCTTACCTTACTCTCTTGCTCCAACTGGTCCAGGCTACTCTGAGAACCCTTTGTCTGCTTAGTGAGCTCTGATGTCCTTTCCCCAGACAGGTTGACCCCGGCAGCACACCACAGCTTGGGAACAGAGGAAAAATTGTTACAAATAAGTAATTTTCTTCAGAATTTAAGGAAATGTACAAAAAGGCACATATTATGCAGCTTGTGTCTATGTGTTAACTAGTTGTTCACTTACGTACCTTCATAGAAGCATCTTTCTGATCCAGAGGTCTCAAGTATACTGGTACAGGCAAGTTCATCTTGTTCTCCACCTGTCCACCATTTGCCACCTGTCGGGGTATAACCAGCACATGCGAAGGAAATGGGCTATTAAAACAGAGATTCACCCAAATTTAGGGCAACATAATCAATACTGCCCAAAGTCAGAATTTCTCTGTAACATTCTGCACACATTTACCATCTGCAGCAGCTACATGAACTACAGAAATCATCTTGAGTTGTTGTGAAAGGTTGTTTGGGAAGGATGCAGTGGCAAAGATGTGAGGTGTGAGCCACAATTTGATATGGTACAAATATTTTTAGATTCAGCCTGACTCACACTTAGCAATATTATTATCTCAGATCTTCCATAAATATGACTAAAAACACCTTTTCTTCAGCAGCGCAAATAGAAACTGCTAATAGCTAATTCATAGGGGTGCAGGATAATTCAAGAATACCCCCTCATGTCGGAAAGGAACTCGTTAACTCGGTCATAATTTTGGTAGTTGCTGACTTGAATTGATATCCACAGTATTTTTCCGCATGTTACACATAAACAATAGAAACATGAACTTAAAAAGGCAGAAAGAACGACTGGCAAACATGGGAAGAGGGAATTTCCGTTACACTGTGAATGCAGCACAGCATGCTTACGTTTAAAAACAGATAACATGGCGTCGATTGTGTGGGACTTTTACAAAGTTTCTGAAGAAGACAGGTCGCTTGTTCTTTGGAACAAATGTTCCAATTAAGTTCCACGAGGAGGTAAAAGTAGCACGAGCTTCAATAAGTCAAACCTGATAAGTCACCTGAAACATAGCCATCGCTTCGACGGACTCTCTCTCTCTCTCAATTCAAATGGCTTTATTGGCATGATGTAACAGTGTACATATTGCCAAAGCAAGCGTTTGAAATCAAAATTAATAATAATAACAATAAAGGAAAACAATATTTACAATAGTTTAATTATAATTAATTCTCTCTCTCTCGATAAAACAACTGAACCTCATTTACTTTAGTGAAAAGGTATTCATTTGAATGGAACCATAAGCCAAAATCCTTTAAACTTAATTTTGTTACTATGGATGCATTTCAGTTTGTTTACACAGACAAGTCTAACTTGTGTCAGTGCATTATGCACATTTTATTTATTGTTATTGAGGAATGCACCTTTTCAGATTGTGTCTACATAGAAATGTTTGAATCTAACTTGTGTCAGTGCATCAATTTTCCATATATATTTATTTTTTTGAACTTCTGGAATGCGCTTTTCAGTTTGTTATCCCGATGCATGTATTTGCATCAGTTCAAGGGGCCTTTTTTTTTTTGAGAGGCTTGCCAATAGTTTTTCATTGGAAAAAATAAATATCTCCATTTAAAGACTCAAAAGTGTTTTTGGGTTTGTTCATTGTATTAATGTCATGATCTTAGGTCATATATACGTATATGTGTGTGTGTTATCGGTTATCGGTATCGGCCTTCAGGAGCTGAAAGTTAATCGGTATCGGTTTTAAAAAAAAGTTATTGTGCATCCCTACTAATTCAGCATACTTTTACAGAAGCCAATTTACAAAAATGTAAACAAATAAATGAGGCTCAAAGTTGTAGCCCACAACATAACTCACTGAATCCATTTTACTTTCTGTTTACATCCACAGAAGCATCATGGGAACTGTAATTCCAAATCCTAAAAGTTGATGGGGTGGGAGTGTGTAGAGGGGTGCAGTTGGTTTGATGCTATCTGAGGGTGGGCTCACAGTACTGCAATGCAGTAGTAAATAAATTACATTTTCTGACATTAACATGAACATAGAACATAGAACATAGAACCTATATCAGTGTTTCCTCTAGGATTTTTTTTAGCAGTGGGGGCAGGCCCGTCCGAACACCATTTAAAAGGCAACCGTGACTACATTGTGCGTCTGCCCCATTTCTGATACCGTGGCGGCAGAAATTTAACAGCGGCGGGCCGCTGCTCCAAAATCAGCATAGAGGAAACACTGCTATACAGGCACAGAAGAAAAAAACTACAGCTATATTCATTAGTAAATGAAATGAAAGCGAAATATTCACTAATCACCTAAATACTCAATCTTCATTTTATCAGTATGTCAGTGGTACCTTCATATATGTCTAATCTCATGAGGCTGGGCTCCATCTGGTGAAAAATTAATATAAATGTTTCTTTAAAAGTGAACAAAGTGAACTGTAACCAAACTAAAACTGACAGTCTTGGTCATTACCGCTGATATAATAAATTACCAGCCATATGTTCTCCTACTTGATTCAAGTGAACTTCCTACCTTGTATTTGCTGGGCAGGCTCCAGCCGTGTGCAGTAACTCGTCCATCCTCCTTCTGCATGTGGGCCTTGACCTGTCTGTACTGGGCTCTCTTCTGCTCTTTACGTGATGGCGAACTGCACTGGTCCTTACTACAAGAAGAGCAACGACAGAGATGTGAGCAGCTTGCAGATACATTTAATGCATATTATAACATTATTGTTTCATCCAAGCCACAAAGTGATTTTATTGAATTTTATTATTAACATGAAATTATTGAATTTCAAATATCAATTTTCATTTTCATCAGCCCTCATCAGAATTTCATGTTCCCTTTGATATAACATATCAAACTCACAGTCCCTTGACTTCATTACTCACTCTTCATTGAGGAAGTCGAAGGTCTTGGACTTCTCTGTGGGGAATTGGGAGAAGGTGCTACTCCTCTTCACCAAGGTGCCCGGAGAATTGTATTTCACGTTGGACTGGGACTCCACCTTCTTGATGACAGGGGAACTGGAGGAGGAGCTAAACAGTCTGCTGAAGCTGCAGGTGGTGAAGTTACAGGAAGCCAAGAGGAAAACAGAGCAGACAGGAGTGCAGGGAAAAAGCAAGGTAGGGGGTCACCAACCGGACAACCAAAGAACCACCACCAACATTTACTGTACAGTGACGTAAAGCATGCTGGGAGTCGTGGAATAGCTGAGCACTGTCTATCGCATTTAACTGGGACATCAATACATAATTAATGCTGACCAAATCGTGTCTTTAGCACTAAGTAGGAACAATATCTTTAGTGACTAAGTTAGATAGTTTTAGTTTTAAACTATTACAATGTAGTCTAGCATGTGGGCACTGTGAATAATATGTCATTGGCACTAATGTAAAAAAAGAGCACAATACACAAGCAAAGTCTATCTGAAAAGTAGTATATATCCCAGTGTACATTATACTTAATCAAACCATTTGGTATTCTTAAATAAACACATAAAAACAGCACAGTTCAAGAAAAGCAAATAAAATACCTTCATATCTAATTCATTATCTCAAAATAGTGCTTGTATCATACTATCCTGTACAATATGTTCTTTCCATATCAATCTTACATGCAAAAAAGGTGCAAAACATTGTTACAATATTAATATATTTCACTCAAATCATAGCAGACTGAACACTGATGTGTCTCCAGGGATTTATGTGCCCACCACTGACTATTTGTGCTAAAACCTTGCTCTAGCTTACGGCTTTGTTTTTGTTCAATAGTTCATTGACATCTATATTATACATATCTACCAAATCTATTAAAAATGATTTATAATCCAAAAGCAAACTGGTCTGCAGGTACAACCTGACTTAAGACTGAAGATGTACAAGTATTTAGGCTGCTGGGGGAACTCTGTCCCTGTTTAGCTCCCTATGAGCAGACAGAGTAGGAAAACATCAAAAAGACACACAGCAGGCAGGAGACAGGAAAGCCCGGGGGCACAAGGAGAGTCATGTCTGAGCAGTTTGTGATAACAACAACTGATGCACTGCACGGAGAGAAAATATCATGGATAAAGACACATCAAAGTTGGATCCATTTGTAATGGAGGAGAAGTTCTGTGTCAACGGAGGGAAAGAGAGAGGCTTGGCTGGGAAAACGTTTATTAAACCATCTTTACCTAATGCTGCCAATTCAACAGCACATCCCGGAAAAAGATGAGAAAAAAAATTGTATTTGAATATTTGAGAGAAAGTGTCACAGGAGTTAACTCGGAATATGCAGTCAAAACGAAATCCCTGATGGAGGTAGCTTGTAATAAAATTAAAAATTTGGGAGGACTTACAACTGCCAGATGCTGGATTTCTTTTTTTCTGTGAGTGTTGGATTTTCTCTTGAGGCCCTAGAGAAGAGGACAAGATGATATCATGTTATCTGTTGTTAGTTTGAAGACACACAAGCACAGGTTGAGAATCTCCTACCGTTTCTTAAATTTTGTTTATGTTTATCTGTTTGGTGGGTGAATAACTAAGAAGCTGTTGAGGGTGGATACATTTGCATGCTCTGTTACTGAAAACTGTTCATCATGTTGCACAAGTATGTCTGATTGCAGCAATACCATCCAAGTTCATCAGTTCAGACAATACAACAATATTATATTATTATGTTACATGGTCATTGTATCATTTTGCTAAACTCAACACTTGTGTAAAGTTATGGATTTCAGCTTTGAGGTAAGAACACAGCAGATATAATTGCCCACAGAACAATTCAATAGTGGGATTAAGTTTGTATGTGGTCAATATTAAGCATGAGTCAGAGAGACTATTCTAATAATAACCGTGATATAAACAAAAATGTGATTACGTATGTGTGTAAATATGCAGCCTTTTGTTCTGTACCTGATCATCTCTGTCCACCGCACCGCTTCCTGTAGCTCCATTAGTCTCTCTTTGTACTGGTTCCTTTCCATCAGTACTCTGGCCATTTCCACTCTGGTGAAGCGCTTCCTCTGGGCTGTAGGTACATCACTCTGTGGTAGCACGCAATTAAACCCACACAGAAACCATTTATTATTATGGGAATGGGCTACATCTCAACAGAAACAAACATGTTGTTTATGCTGTGTATGTATATTACGTAATATGTCTGCACTCTCAAACACTGTTGTGCAAAAGACTCACATCTTCTTCATCTTTAGTTTTGTGTTTCACTTCCTCCACCTCAAGTCGCACTCTGGAAAAGACAGTTATTATCATGTTGCTATTTTACAATTTACAAGCAAAGAAACGGATTAGGGCTGTACCCAACTCTGAATTTAGTCAGTCGAATAGAATTTGGCTGTTCAATCAATCAGTCAATTCCGGCGGACGGCAGTAGAGAAGGTTGTACCGCCGGATGGTTCAAACGTGGTTTAGCTGACTTCATTAACCGGGGCAGAGAGCATTGGAGCAGCCGCTGCTCCGCTGTTGGCGGTCACACTCCCCTTCGTTAACCATCACTCTTCTCTGTTTCCTTCACAGTTAGTTTTGTGGTTTGTTGTCATTTTGAGTCGGTTTGTAAAGTTTACAGCCTGCCATGCTGTCGCTCTGTCGACAATGGCACAGCTAAAAAACAGAAGTGCATGAGATATTCGACTGACAAAATTCGAGACAACTCAGGGTCTTCTCGACTGATGATTCAAATCATTGAGTTTTCTACCTGCTATGACTGTTGACTTACTTTTTGAATTCCTCTTCGAGCTCTCTGTTCTTGTCCTCCAGCTTGGTCTTGGCCTGCATCACAGCCTCCAGCTCTCCCTGCAACATCTCCTTCTCACAGGTTAACTCGTCCACCTTCAGTATCAAGTCTTTATTCACAACGTTCAGAGCATTCCTGGAGAGACCGGGGAAGGACATTTAAGAACACTTGTAAAATACTTACTGGCACATTTTAACTGGGACAAATGATCAAAGGAACGACTGAAAAAAAGAAATATTTCTGTGCTTACTTTGTCTCAAGCAGTTGTGAATTCTCCTGTATGAGATTTTCAACTTCCCGGCCCATACCTGAATGGAATTGATGACTGAAATTAGGCGTTTATTTTACAAAAAAATAAACAAATCTGACAACAAATTATACCAGTAACTACATAAACACTACAAATTAATGTGCATTACTGTGGAGTATTCTTACTACGGTAAAATCCAACAAGTAACTATATAGCATGTGAAATATCTCCTAGTGAGATATTTTTTACTGCAGGTTTCACAGCACAACACACTACCACAACACACAAACCCACAGCACATGTCACATGACTGACAGGAGAAGGATGGATAGAGTGGGTGGGGTCTTACCAATCAAACTAAGGTCTGAGAAAACCATGCAATCCAAGTCAAGCGGAAAGAATAAGGAAGAGAGAGAGAGAGAGAGAGAGAGAGAGAAAGAGAGAAATGCGGATATAGTTTGAGACAGTGGAATGACCAAAATAATGAACGAGCCAGAGCTAAATGTGTAGCTGTTGGCTCCACAAGCAAAAGATATTGTTGGGTCTCTAAGGCTAGTTAGATACAAGGGCAAAAAAACTGCTGTAAAAAGAACAGTTAGGCCAACAAAGGAAGCATTGAACTCCATCATTCATGCACCAAACTTTGTCAGATGTCAACTGTTATCAAACATAATGAAGAAGAAGCTGTGAGCTGCAGCAATGGGTATGGCAGAAAGTGAGTAATGAGTAGAGGTCAAAGGGGACATTACAGGAGACTGTTTAACTAAGGAAAGGTTTGAGGTCATACACACCAGAGTACTCCACTGGGATTATGGACAAAAGCCAGAGGATGGGATACGGGAGAGAGAGAGGTGATGTTAACATGGGTAGATGCCTAGATGGCTAACACTGTGTACAACAGCTGGATCAAAGCAAGTGGTGTAGCATTGCAGCAAACAGCAAGGAATTGGGAGTTACAATGAATTTGACCTAGTACTATCAGTAGAACAACAGCTGCTAGCCAAACACAGGAGAGCTTCAGTAAACGGCTTTATCAGTATTTTTTTTAAAAACCCAGAAAAGCGGCAATTAAAGGTATAAGAAATACTCAGGGTTATTACTCATTTCATTTGTATGCAACATGTTTCACTGAACAGTCAGATAATTTTTCCAACACATTTTGGCAAAGAACATCACAACACGAATTTAGTTCAGTTTTGCTCCACTGAATATTATTATTAAACACTTCTGTTATTATACAATGGCCACTTACAAAATAAGAAAAAGTTAATAGCGGATCAATAATCACAGAAGACTTTCCTTTATTTTGGTATCAGCATTATATATGAGGCCGCCCTGCTCTATAAATATTGGCGTCGGCTCATCAGTCGACCACTACTCTGTGTTTTGTTTTGTCCATTGGTCATGGTTCACCATCAGCACCATGTTTAAGATGACCTGTGTAACTACCAGCCAATTACAAATTACACATTTTCCATGGCCATGGTATAATTGTCACAAATATACATTTTAATGCCTCACACCTCATGCAAAACATTGGAAACTGAGCAGCTACAGAACCCACTATGTATTGTAAATACCAGGGAAAGACATCTGTCAGTAGGGTTGTTTTTTTTTCACTTCACAATCAATAAATCAATTCATAACTGACATTTCATACAGACATTTCCAACATGAGCAGATTAGATCTATATACAGGACCTGACAGGACTGCTCCAGTGAAGATAAAGTTTTTACTCACCCAGCAGGTCGGCCCCTTCATCAACATCCCCTATGAGCCCAGTGCCTGCAGACGACAACTCTTCAAATAGAGAGTCTGTGTTGCGGTCGAATGCCATGTTCTCAATGCCTTTAGTAGGGGTACTAGAAGAAGAACAACAACAGGGATTGATGTAATGCTAAATGGTGAAATGTTGTTAAAAGCTGGCCTGACAGCATGTTGTTTTTTCTACCTGCAGGGCTTGTATCCAATGGCATCCATGTCCAGCTCAGGGGTGGACTCAATAATGTCCTGCACATCTGAGCTGTCCTCATTTTCAGGCAAACCTGCATAAGACATAGCATATGAACATAAAGAGAAGGAATGACACGGTATGTCTGAGCAGAGCTGCAAACGTTTACATTAGACTAGGAAATGATTAAAGTAACAAAAAAAGTTTTTTTGAATGTGACCAGGGCAGTTTCATGGCGTTTGACCCTACCTACTGATATAGATCTGGTCCCTGGTGCAGCCTGCACCTCCATGCTCTTACTGTTCCCATCTTCCTTCTCCATGTCCGAGGCTGTGGTGGACATTGGTGTGGCCGACTTGGAGCCGGTGAAGTCTGACAGCTCATCCTGTAACGGAAGGTAACTTGTTTACAGCAATATTTCTAGGTGGCCGTTCAAAATGACATGGAAACAACGGGAAAACATACAGAACAAATTGGGACCACACACAGAACAATATTAGACAACACAGTTCACAAACAGGTTAACATGGTTGGACAGGTTAAAGGTGCTAATCACTACATACACTACACATGCAGGGTAACAGAAGACACAAGAGTCTAATTTCTCTCAGCTCTTACATTGTGTAGAGCACATTATTATCTCCATGTGAAAGTCTACCTCTAAAATCCCTTAAACACAATAATCTGAAATACTAAGCTACTGTTTTTTGTGAAATTGGAAGCCAGGGAAAAGACCTGGGAATCTGAAACAAATACTATGAATTAACACCAAAAGACAAAGAACATGAGCAACACAGAGCTAGCACACAAACACAGACAATGTGGTCCACACACAGCTCCACGGATTGCAAGGGGGGGAGGGCTTCACACAACATCAAATAAAATTAAACATGGCCACAATGAGAGCTGCCATTCTACCTCTAATACACAACACAAACACACACACAATTCAAACATGAAAAACAGTTAAGAAACTAGACAGGGTACAAATCTACTAGATATTATATCTAATGTTACACAGCTACAGCATTAAAAGACAGAATAATAAATGTATGTTATGCTATTATACAATGAATGACCAGAAAGGTTAACTTTTGTTGAAGATTTGCATGAATGAATCCAAACTACAAAGAAACATGTGAAATATAAAACTCATGCATTTCAACTGAAATGAAAAACAAATTAGAGGCCAGATGCAACCACGCTGTTATCGATTTCAAAAGATTAATTAATTAACCATCTGTGACACTTGGATTGTTGTGTGCACTTAGATTTTGAAAGACCCCAATGTACACAGGACGTGGTTGCATGTAGCACATTATAGCACAGGTGGTCTGGTGAAGTGAGGGTCTATAAATGCACAAAGTGAGAGGCTTTTGAAAAAAGATGAAACAGCATAGTGGAGGGGACTACTGAAGCCCACACACACGCACAACACAAACACTGTGCTGTCCACAGCCAATGCAGGCGTGCTGCTGCTGCTGCTGCTGCTGGCACTTCTGCCAGACGCCACTCATCCAACTACCTTGCAGTCGTCTGCCAGTGAATTCCCCCAAGTAGAGTCCTGCGCACTCTTACCCTCCCTTTCCTTCGGGGGGTCGACAAAGTCCAACTGCTTGGGGGGGGAGAGTAAAAATGGGCAGAAGCAGTTCAGCAGAAATGCATACACCCTAAAGTGCGCATGTCTGGGAAGTGAATGGGAAAGTACTATTGTATGGGATAAAGTGTGTAGATACAGGTAAGCTTGTGTGTGTGTAGACTGTCTAGTCAAGACTACAAGCAATAGATTCATCTTTAATTATCATTTTCTGCATATAAAATACCTATAAAATATATGTATGGATATAGATGGGTATTTTTTGCTATTTTATGACAATAATCATTAGTTGCCCTAACCAAGTGGCTTCTTTGGTCTAACCTACAGACAAAATACCTTAATAAGTTGTACTTGGACTGCATAAGAGCTGGAGTTAATTTTAGTATTTTTAAACCTACCACTTAAAGAAGTAAGTAGAAGTGATATTAACCAATATAAACCAATATTTACAGTGTTTAAAATGTTTCATCATCACAACCTAAAATGCTTGCAAAATGATACACTTCCTTTGAAACATTATTCCCATGTACAGTATCGTACCAGTTACATATCTCCTTTGATTTGTTTAAAAGAGTACTCCACTGATTTAGCATTGCACTCCTATACATTTATCAGACTGATGCAACAAAACATCAAAATCAATGCACACACTACCCACAATTTAACTCGGCTGCCGACACTTCGGCTAGAGATTCGGGAGAGTTATGCTAGTGGTGGCCATTGTAGCATAAGTTCACACCCTCACATTTTTGTAGTCTTCAGCCCCAGCCAACATTTATCATTTATTATGTAAACAGAGTTTGATATGTGAAATCGGTGGAGTTCCCCTTTAAGTGACATTGCTTTGTAAATGCCCCTTTGAATGAAACAAAAAGCAGTGATTTAGGAAACATAATTAAGCCAGTTTAAAGGGCAATGGAATGGGTCTTGCTTATATGACTCATACTTTTGATGGAGATTATATCATGGCTGGCATGCAGGCATACGCACGTCATTAACCCTTTTGTTACTTGACATGCCATGACTCCCATAATTAAATATGACACCTCTGTTTTAACTCTAAGAGCTTGTCTGCATATCAAAGCTGCTCGTGTTCAAAAGGCCATGGCTCAACAATAACCATCCTGTAGCACTGATTACATAAGAACCAATCACATTCCAGCTAGCCTTTTTCTCCCTCAGTGACTGGCTACGAGCCATACAGCGGCATCACTCCCATCATGCATTGTGCCACAGAGCTGATGTCCCAGTTTTAACAAAAAACGCAGCAGTGGGAAGAAGAATTAACATTGTCCCCCTCCAGGTCCCAACTGCCACAGATATAAGCATAACACACACATCAAAAACATTTTGAACAGTACGAGTCACTGTTTTGCATCATTTAAGCTGAGAGAACATTATAATGTCTATGTCCCAGTAATATTTAAAGCAGTTTAACAGGAATTGAAATCACTGAAAATACACCTCCTATGATAAATCTCAATGTTATCCTTTGCACTTGCATCTACTATGAATATTCATGTGATAAATGCAATGATCTCCTCTGACTGCTGCACCAGGGCAACAGACACGTTTGCATATTCATCAATGGCTAAAGGAGGATGTCTGAAAACAGAGACGGCCTTGTCAGATGCCTACTAAAATTTGCCTACATGCCTGAGCCTAATCAAAGGCTCTCTATTTTTAAATGGATCCAAAGCCAAAACTCTTCTACCTTCTAGCACTGGCAGGCGGGATGGAAACACAGCCAGGAAATGAGATTAAAGCGATCATATCAATATTTTACGCATTTTTTAACATCTGTACACTGTTGACACTCATTTTGATCAAACATCTAACGCAGTGAGAGTGTTAGGGCAGTGGTTAATATTCAGTTATTCCATAATTTGAATGAATGAAAAACATTTTGTAGACTGAGTAATGATGGGATCTGATTACACCATATTCTTTAATCATTAATAAGATCATTATAGCTCTCACTTGTATTCAACATGTCACAATATAGGATGCGGAACTGACACTTTGGACCAAAGACAATGCAAAAAAATAATCTGCCTTTTGGATTTTTGTGTTGGGACTGGAATTATCTGTCTTTCAATACGCTACACTACAGTCTGTCCCCACGACTGATATCATATAGTCCGAACCAGACACTAGTTTATTCTTTGAAGACAAAACACACTGGAATAAGTTATTATTTTCCACCAACTGTGATAAAAGGTGAGGTGTCATCCACACAGGTACCTTGAGGCTTGCATTGGACCTTGGTTGTGTTGGGTCGGTGAACCTCCAGGCCTCTGTGCCCAGTGTATCTGCCCTGACCTGGGGGTCTGGCGTTAGCAGAGACACCCCACCAGATGGCGGGAAGATCCCCAAAGAAAGAGGTCGCTCTCTCCTGGAGACCAAAAAAAAAATGTTTTGATCATGTTTTGCTATTTTTAACTGATTAACTTTATGTATTCACAACATGTAATCTGAAACTATGCCTTCCTTATGTTTGTGCATTTTATTAATGTCATAATGTATTTAAATTTTTGGTTGAAATTGATACAAAAAAAGACAAAAAACAAAAATGCTTCTTGATAATTGTAAAAACTTCCTGCATGAGCTCTCAAAGATCAGTCCTCTAACGTCACATACACTTGTTCACAGGTTTGTCCGTAGTGTTAGGTGCAATAAGAAAATAAGAGAATTAATGTAATCAAACAGATTTGACTGAATATGGTAACATTAATACAAACTTATCTGTAATGACTTTACCTGACTCGGCCAACTGCGCTTGACTCTGAAGTCTCGCTTATCTGCTGCAGTTTGATCCTCTCTACATGCTCCATATAATTATGGATCATCTGCAGAAGTCAAACCAAAGACCCAGAGGAAACTAGTCATGAAAGTCATTAAGGATTACAACTTGACAACATTGCCTTCCCTTTCTTCCTCCCCCATCCTTCCTCTCCCCCTTACCTCTGTGTGTCGCTGATGGAGCGAGTTGTATTCCTTCTTGAGCTCTAATTCACGTTCTTCTAACCGGCCGACTGAAACAGAATACAACACTGCTCAGTGGGTAGTCAACTTACAAGGCACAGGACAAGGATCATACTTTGTCTTTGAACCATTTGTAAAATTATAATTAACAGTAACAAAAATCGGCGTGACAAATTCAAAATCCTAACAATAATAATTAATAGTTAATTAGGCTTTAATGAAAGGTTTGATATTTTCTCATTCACTTTCTTGCCAAGAGTAAAATAAGAAGATTAACACCACTCTCATGTCTATAAGAAGAATATGTAGCTAGCCTGACTCTGTCCAAAGGTAATAAAATCTACCAACCAGCACCTCTAGAGCCTACTAATAACACATTATATATTTTGTTTGTACAAAAAGCTTTCTGTAGTCTCTGCTAGCTGTAAAACAGAAAATTCACGTTTTCAAACTTTGATTTTTGTGCCGAATAAACAAACGAGATGTAACAATTTATTGTTAGTATCCCGTTTCCCTGTTTCTAGTCTTTATGCTGAGCTAAGCTAACCTCCTGCTGATAGCTTCATATTTCCTTTACAGACATGAGAGTGGTATTGATCCTCTCAAATATCTACCAGAAAACAAATAACAGCATTTCAGAACTACCTCTTTACATCTTTTAGACCTTCATTGTACTTCATGTTATAGTACAAGCCTGTACATAAAAAAAGTGTGCATATCCAAAGGAATCATGTAGCTCTAACAGGCAGGCACTGGGAATAGGCACAGAGGTAATCTCACTCAAATGGGTTTCAATGTTGGGCTGACTTATGAAGTGACAAAAACAACTAATCCCCTATTAGTGCGTCTAGCTTAAGCCACAAGGAGAGCTACTGCGACACAGTATAAATCCTGGATACTATCAATTACAGCAGTTAAAGATTCTGCATGTTGTGCGATGATTTCTCGCCAATGTGTGTGTTGACATTACCGGGGGATTTCATTCGGCTATCGTGAGTCATCGAATTCATGAAGACATGTAATGAAGTGAAAGTGAGAAAGGCTTTACGCAGGGGAGACAGCTGAAGTCTGAAGTAATCCCTCCTGTGAGTTCGCATTAGTGACGTGCACATCTGACAAATCACTGTGTGGAGAAAGTGAATGTGTAGCTGAACATTAAGGCAATGATACTGATTGAATTAATTATTTATTTACCTTAAAAGCTGTTTAACACTGAAAAGACAATATCCACTGTAACAGGATATGTAATGCAAAACACCACGGAAATGCCAAGAGTGTCATTTCCCTGAGCTGTGTGGGAGCTGCATAATCACCTATCACCATTTAATAAAATATATATGTGCTGAGAAGAGGTGAGAGTCTGTGTATAAATCTCCATCATCAGATTGTTAGATACTTTTTCTTTTGCTTGACCAATGCAGTCTTTTACAAGAGCGTCCCACATCACAAAATCTGCCTAGATCTCAGTCTGATGGTACAGATGAAAGAATAGAAATGAGAGTTCCAAGAATCCATAACGGGAGTGCAGAACAGCAACAAATAAAACTAAACAACTGAAAAAACAAAACTGAAAAATCATCCTTCAGTACTAAGCAAGTGAAAATAAAGCCAAGACGAGAGCAGCGCAACTTTAAAAACCGTGACCTACAGTCCTGTTTGCTCATCGTCTGCTACTAACTTTGGCCTTATTAACACTACAGTAGCTGTGGACTCTGTCCTAGAAGCCTCAGGACACAATCAGCTGGTGCAGCAACACACAGTAATGAATGAATGATTTACTATTTGCTGGGAGTGGTGAAGGGTTGGTTGAACCCACTGACTAGTTGCGAGTACACTCAAGTATCTCCATTTTTCCCCAAATAGGTGAAACAGTTAATTATGAGCTAAACTAAACACAGAACTACTTAAAGCTAAAAGAGAGATATAGAAGAAATTGATGTTTTCACACAGCTTTGTGTGAATGAATGAATGAATGAATGTAATTAATTAATTAATGAAACCAGATGCTTTGCCACTAGATACTGTGTGAATCCACTATTTCCTACGAGACAGAATGTAAGAACCAATCACTTTCCATTCCTTAATCCACCAATAAGATGGGCGGTAATGCACTGCTGCATTAGGAGGATGGGAATAACAGAAATCCTATAATCCCATTACTGTTACCCCCGCAAAGAGGGAGAAAGAGAGCGTGAGTGTGTATGGTTGTGTAAGTGTGTGCGGAGAGAGAGAAAGTAGGCATAAGAAGCCATGAGAGAGACATCAAACAAGTGAGGAAGATTATATGAAGAGAGTAAAAAAAAACAAGAAAGAAGGGGGGAGAAGATAACCCTGTCCATGGGAGCAGACTGATAAATAAAAAATCTTACTGGGATATCATTGAATTATCATCACAATGGAGAACAGAGACCGTGAGAAGAATAACATGATGTAATACGTGATCGAATTCAGCAAATATGTGAATTTAGTTGTGTATGTGTCTGTGTTGTTTGTGTGTGTGTGTGTGTGTGTGTGTGTGTGTGTGTGTGTGTGTGTGCGTGAGTGTGCGTGCGCTTACTCTGGTCTGCGTAATTCTTGATCTTAAGTTCCAGTTGCCGGGAGTGGGACTCCATTCTGTCCACATGGTTCTGCAGGTCCTTCTTATCCTGTTCATGAGTGTCCTCAAACTCAATGAACTTCTACTCAGGAACACAGACAGACAGACAGACACACACACACACACACACACACACACACACACACACACACACAAAAACAGAGCTTGGTCAGACTCATTTGTCATCATTTGTCTGATGCAGTTTAAAGTGATAAGATGGTTTTTTATTCCCCCATTTCCTGACATAAAGCTCTGTCTCACCATAGCTACTAAGATGCTGTATCTAAACATGATTGTGCTTAGATGTTAACAAGGTTCAGCATTTTTTCTAAACCTGTATGTAACACATAAGCAGTAGGCTATTAGTATAATAACATATTTAATATTTTTGGCAGTTTACGCAATGATCATATTGTGTGAACTGACTGATCGACAGAGAAAGAAATACGCTGCTATTTCATTACTCAACTAATTAGTTTTAATTTCAGGCATAATAGCTGGAAAAATGCAAAATATTCACTGGATGAAGCTTCTCAAATAAAAGGACAGAATGTTTTGAAGATGTTACTTTGCAATCTGGGAAGTTATAAAGAGAAATTGTTCACTGCCTTTTGATATTTCATAGAAACTATTAAAAGTTGTATGAAGACTAATCAATAATTAAAATAATTGTTAACTGCAACCCAATACACACAGTGTATTCAATATTAACAGACCACGTGTTCCATTGTGAGAGTATGTATGTGCCACGATGATGAGGATTAGAGGGACAGGATCTTAACTTCATCCGGAAATTCCGGTTGCTCCCAGCTTCCTTCTAGGCGAACCTCTGAGCGGGAGAGTGTGTGTGTGTGTGTGTGTGTGTGTGTCAGCGTCCACATCCTGTCCAGCTGAGACAGCCAAGGCCCTAATGTGGATGCCCTTCCTCCTCTGGATGGAGTCTTATTGTACTTTGATGTATAAAGACTCTCAGCTTCCTGGGCAGTCTGTTATTTTGTGCTGTATGACTAAAAATTAAAAATGTACTTTGTTCAGACTTAATGGCAAATGATTACATTACATATACATTACAGATACATTATTCTTTCGCAGATTTGAAAAGGCCACTAAGGGGTTGTCATTCAGGTTTTCCAAACTCATATGTTCACAAATGTTGTGTAAAAGAATTCCAATTATGCATTGTAGAGCTGACACAATAAATCGATTAAGCATTGAACATAACATTTAAAACAATTTTGATAATCAATTAATCATTCATTTTTTTAAGCAAAAGCTGGTTTTCTTATTATCATGAGCCTTATATCGTTGGGTTTTACACTGTTGGTCAGACAAAACAAAGCATCTAAAGACATCACTGGGCTCTGGGAGACTGTAATGGGCATTTTTGGCTATTTTCTGACATTTCATTTACAAGAAGAAGATAAGCTACCAGTCTAATTCATTGATAAAGAAAATAACTGTTGGTTGCAGCCTTAAAATAATGCAACATGACATCAACAGCGGCAATCCCACGGTGATAAAGAGCAATGATTGATGGTCTAAATACATGTAACCAAAACAGCTGTCACAGTGTAGGTTTGGAGCCAATGAGAAACTGGAGAAGGGCTGACAATAAGTTTTAATGATCTGAACAGCTGCTTAGATGCCTCAGTGCTTCAGTGCTTTTTACACAGTCATCAATATCACAAGTAAATTGCAGACTGTTTAATTGTATGTCTATGTCTTATTAAATTACATTAGAGATTAGAAGAAACAAGGCTGCAATAATAACAGAGCAGGAAGGGTGGTGATACTATCTGTTTTGTGTCTTGTGTGAAATCTATAATTAGTTGGAAAGCATTTAATGGTCTAAAAAAAAAAAGTCAATACTTGAACTATTCATCCTACGTGGGAGCAGCCTCCTAAAAAGCAACATGACACCCTTCACCACTCTGGAAAGGTGGAGGGGTCAGCCGATGAAACCAGAATTTTACACTTAAACACAAGAAATAAAAAGGGAAAATGCAATCTGGGAGATGTTCCCTTTCTGTTAGTTTCCGACAAAGGATCACATGACCTGGAAGTAATACCTTGCCTTTCCAACAGGCTCAGCGTACCCCAGCTCACTCCTCCTCAGGGGTGTCCACAAAGAGTTTTTCCCAGGACTCCTCCATAAATGTGAATATGTGCATTTATATTTGATATAATATGATGATGTAGCAATGAAGGACACACTAGTGTTGTCAGTGTGCATGTGTATGAGTGTTTGAGTGCCTGGCTGTCACACTGCCTCAGTGTCACTATGTGTATGGAGGGGTCTACATGTCCACAGCACATTGGGCCAGTGTCCCTGCTGTCCTGATGCCCTGAGTCAAAGAAACAAGCTGAGACAGAAGGTCTGAGTCACATCACATTGCCCTTCATACAAAAGGCTCAGGGCCAGGAGGCAGCATTCACACATGTAAGGCACCACAACACAAGACCCCTGACACACACACACAAATAGACACATCAGGGGGTCACTTTAGTTGTCACTTCAAGTAATGAGGGAGAGCTTTTTTTTTTTTTACAAAATGCAACCATTTATTGCTACTTTCTAAACTTTGTGTAGTGGCAAACGTTGACTTGAGTTCATGTGTTACTTTAAAAAAGGGGCATTCCGCTGATTTGAAGTCAGTTCACTTGTCGTGAGGAGCACTGCTCCGCCTGTGTGAACAATGTCTTCTATGGTTCTTGAGGCACTTTCTAAAGACTGAATCTATAATTATCCTAACTTGGGTTTTCAAGCCACCTAGTTATAACAGAAAGACTGTTACAGTGTGAATGAAATTATTTCGATAATTAAAAGTGATGTGTGGCATAAATAAAAAGACCATGGATCATAGTGAAAGAGGTACACTGCTTTCAGATAGTGGTTATCTTCTTGCTGTGTGTAACAGACCGCTTGCACATTGAATCACGCTCTCTCCCGCAATTCTACATTGACATCTTTATCAGAGATTCATGTTTAACGGCAGTTGTATTTTATTTTGTTTTTTAAAGGCTAGATCTACTTTCTGTGTAGCAACTGTCCTCAAATGTATTTTTAAATCGTCCCTGATCTTTTTCTCTTTTTTTCCCCATCCCCGCAGAGGTGGGATGCCCTTAACTTAGAGTCCTGTTGGGCAATACCAGGTCATGCAGAGTCTATTGAGAACTGTTATTAAGCAGCATTATGGGAAATGTAGGATCCATTCAAAGGACTAATAGTCAGGATATCTCAGCCTCTGCTGTCTCTCACAAGTCTCCCAACTTTACTGAAGTACACGACTGAAGTACTCCTTTAGGTGTGAGATACTGACTTATAACCATAGCTGGGAGTCACTGGATAAACAGAACAACATCTACTTGCTTTTTTATGAGTTCTGTCTCTGGATCAGTGGGCAACACAAAGCTCTACAATGAACAGTGACAGACTGTACGTGTATATAAATGTGACTCTTTCGTATACTACAGTGTATCGGGTATCTTGGATACACTGTGCAGTTTTTGGCTGAGTGAGTGATTGTGTGGGTGAGATGTGGCTTAAGCGTTTTGCACAGGGGTGAGGGGTAATGATCTGCTGCCAGTACAGGGTGCTGGTAGCAGTGGTGAACCATAAAGTAACATAATCACAATGTATAGCTTGGATAAAGCTGTGGTTGGCTACTTTGTGACATGCATTATTTCCTATGCCTGTACTTGCCCTGTTACAAGCAACTCTATCATCCATCTGACTGTCTGGTCTGTCTCCATCTTCTTTTCCACTGTGTTTCCTTTTATAAACTTATGTTACAGTGATGTCCCAAAATGCTGAGTCACTTCACCTGCTGTTTCTTCAGTCGGGGTCTCACGGGGCTCAGACGTGACTTCACTATCTGATGCAATAGGCTCGCTGAGAGATTATAGTGTTTGATAACGAGAGGCCGGTTTATGTTTTGCCTATTAGAAAGATGCCCTTTTGTTGTTGTTGTTGTAGTTGGCAGTGAGTAAGAACCTCCATCCTGGGATTACAAGCTAATACAAAGAGAGAGGGGGCCATTTCTGCCTGACGTTAGCCATGACATTGCCTTGTTTACATCCCCATTGAGCACCAGGGCAGGTCGGGTTGGATGCTGCCCGGCCACGTGTATAGGTTAATTCACTATAAAGAGGATGCTGGGAGGACAAAAAAAAAAAACACCTGAAGCAACCTTCAAGCCTCCACAAAAGGATACTGGCTTCTTTTTTTTGTCTCTCAACTCCCATTTAACTCACCTCCTCTGCGTTTTTCCTCAGCGCTTTCTCCCGCTCGTACTGAGTGATGAGCTGCTCGTTGTCCTCCTTCAGCAGCTCCAGCTCCACTTCGTGCTCCTGGTTCTCGGCGAACACCGAGTCCAGGTTCTCCAGCACGGCCACGACCAGCGGCATCAGCTCCTTCACCACGTCCTCGTCGTATTTGCCGATGAGCCTCTCGAACTCGCGGTAGATGGAGTTGGCCAGGCCCGACACCCGCTCAGACATCATCGCTGATGTCCCCGGGTCGTCCTGGTACACAACTCCGTCTTCCAGCTCCATTTTTAGTCCTCTCCCTTTCAGCAAACAGGACCAAATGATGGTTGTCCCGCGTTACCCCGCCACTATGAACACCGTTGTCCGCTTAATTGGAAGCAGTGTTTCGTTAAATAAACGTACACATTGGGAACATTACACGGCTACACTATTACGATGCAAGATAGGCTACGTGGATGTCTTCCTCTTTTTCCCTTCGGTTGTCCCATGCTGCCTTCAGGTGCTCGTCCAAAGCTTTTACTTTCCAGTTTTCAATGAAGGGCCGAGATCGCACGGTTTACAGCTTGAACCACGAAGTCTTGAAACATGTATATATGTTTATCTTGTGTCAATAAAATATACACTTTTCATTCCCACAAGTCAAAAAAATAAGTTTTTATCTGCCCAGCGCCACACCTGGCAACACAATAAAGAATAGACTACATCAGAAACAGCTACAGAATGAATGTATCTGATTTGTTACATTTAGGCTTGTATTAATACACAGAATGACATGTACATCCCCTCACCTTGGAGATTAAAAAAACACGATTGTTTAAGTCTTTCTAATCACATGGCCTTGTGATTCACACATTTCCGACGGTACTTGAAGGCGCCATCACAACAGCTGAGTTGTTGACCAGAGATCACGTGGTGACGTCACATCACGTTAACAACGTGAGGTTATTTGCACACTGCATTGTAGCCTACTTACTGATTTATTACAAAGTGTAACAAGAGAAAAGAAACTCAATCTCACCTTGAAAGGAGTTATTTCAAGACATAAAGAGAGCATAGAAAGGTTTTCATATTAAGTCAATCAAATCACTTCACTTAACACATCTTTATCATATATTTCAGTTTCACTTCAATAATTTTCTTGTTCATTTGCCACTATAAGGGGCCAAGTCTCTCCTCAGTTTAGTTTTTTTGTTTGTTGTTGTTGTTTTTGTTATTTCATTACTAGTGTATCACAATGCATTTGTAAGAACCACAAGACTGAAAAACTTCAGGAAAAGTCTGCATGAATCACCTCCAATGGATTGCATTACATTATAGTGTACTGTATGGACGAGAAATCATTAAATAAAGGGAAACTAATGACAAATTTAATTATTTTTAGTTTTTATTGTGGTTTTACCTGAACAGCAGTACTGTAGTACATTGATTAGATATGTAACAGGTTCAAACATTGCAACAGAAAATGCTGTTGGAACAACAGGTTCAGTATATGTAACCAGAACTTTTTAACCACATTCAGCCCAGTTTGAACTTGACTTACATGCCATTTGACCTGCTAATCACCCAATTTATGATTAATGAAGGACTACAACACAATAAATCCATACCCATACAACTTGAATCAACAAACCATAGCTAACAATGCAATATTGCAGAAAATAAAATGCATAGTGAGAATGAAACAAGTCTGCTTTATGCACCTGCAGGTTTCAAGCCTATATTCCTATTTTATCCAGCAAAGTAAATACAGAACAGGTTATATTATAACTTGCAGTCGAAATACATTATATACTTACAAATGAAAACCAAACAGCAAGATTGCCTACTTTATTTTATTATTTCTACACATTTTTGTTTGCGAACTTGCTTTGATGAGGCTATGATAAAGCAAGTTTTTCCTCTGCAGTATGTAGGTCTACAGGTTGTTGACAAAGTCTTCTCCAAAATCAATCATTCGTCTCAGTGCGCTCAGTATCAGTGTATCAATGTCATCATCTGTGTCAATCTCTGAATGGTAGTTCTTCACAGGAAAGATGCAGTTCAGTGGAATACCCAGCGATGTACTCAATTTCTCCATCTAAATTTGAACAAATTGACTAATGAGAAATTAAACCAAAGTCCCTAACAATGGATTTTTGTGTTAGAATATTGAAATAAAATAAAAAACCTAGCTTTAATAAGTTTCTCCAAACTGTTAAAATCACAAATAGAAACTTACCTTTTTCATAAGGGACTTGCTCATGTACACATTCCTTAGATCTCTTTTGACCTCTGGACAGGCTTCATCAATGTTGGTGAGAATAGCCAGTTGGGGAATCTCTGCCAATACAGAACAGAATCTGAGTCAATCAAGATTGTGTTTGTCAGGTTATATGATTCAACTTATGAAACCCAATAACTAACCCTAACCCTTATCCATGTCACTGGCTCCAAGTCTGACATCCCTCATCTTTTTCACAGTTTCATCACTCAGTATATCTACTTTGCTGGCAGAGACAACACAGACCAGAACATGAGCTTTGTCATTTAGAGTGGGGTTGTCGTTGTAGCGACGATCATCCTTAGATATTGTAGAGACAGGATTGAACTGGAAGACAATATCAATTTAATCAAAGGACAATCATGTACCATAGTGTTGTATATGTTTTTTTATGTGAATGAAATTGTTTATTCAAAACAGATCTCAAAGCTGAATTGTATGAGTGAAATATAGCCAACAAAGTTTAATGAATTCAATATTTACATTATATCCATCTCCTATGTTTCCCATCATGGCCACTTTGATGTCCTCCACACCAACTCCTCTGTCAGTTTGCTCAAGGCCCATGATGTCAGTGAAGGCAAAACGGTAAAATGTTCCTGGTTCTCCTTTTTGGATTTTGTAAGTTTTGTACTGTAAAACAGAAAGGTGCAGTTATAATGACAATAATGCCACATGTTGAGCAATGACCATGAAGCAGTTTGGCTCTTTTGCTCAGCACTGCTCCCAGCTTGATATATAGTGCAATGATCATTGCAAGTGCAAATGAAATAAATTTAAGTACACAATAAAATAGTTTTCAAATGTCATGAAGATTTACAGTGCATGAAATACATAACTTTGTTAAAACACAATCAATAGTGATGCATACTTTTCTGGTGAAGCTGTTGCCAAAGGTTGCATCAGACAAAGCTTGAGCAGTGATTCTGCCTCGTAAAACACTTTCGACAGAATTGATGAAACTGGACTTGCCAGAACCAGTCGGTCCATAAAGCAGAATTCTGAGCTGGTCAAGGTCTTTATGATGAGGCTGATAATCCTCCACATACTGAAGGTCTCTCTCTTTGTGGCTGTTCAATAAAGAGGTATCATTTTACTGCTTGGTTGTCACAGACTCCCACAGCTGTCAACAAGAATTACATCACAAATCAGCCTAAAAACTGTGTATGCAGTTTCACAATTTGTTGTGCACTTACCCCCATGGTATTTTCCTCCACTCTTCATTAAGAGCTGTACATGTTGATGTAATATAGAAGAATATTTTAAGTAAATAACTTGACCACAATTGGAGGCCTCATTATTTTTATAATGAGTATAAACAATGTATGTAATATTTAGAATATCTTACTCTCAGGAGGGGGTGGACTGGGTTCTGATTTAAACCATCCAAACATAGCTACAATAAAATATTAAGCAGACATGTAAACAAGAAACATTTGTCTATATGAATTGCATTATTTATTGCCTAAAATCAAAGACTGTTGCAACTTGTCACAGGTAAAAACTGACTAAACTGTGCTGCAATAGCAAACTATTTTATTCTTTATGAATCTTTAACACAAGCACCAAAGATATTTTATGAGAGGTTATTTGCTCAGTTTGGTCAACATGATCATTAAATATGTTATGCAACAGAAAGAAGGTTCACGCTACCTAAAGCTAAAACATGTATGATTCAGAAGACAGTTCTGTACGGATCATGATGGTCAGGTGGAATTAGTATCTAAATATTTAGAATATCTTACTCTCAGAAGAGGGTGGGCGGGGTTCTGATTTGGACCATTTGAACATACCTACAATAGAATATTAAGCAAACATGTAAACAGGAAACATTTTCCCATGTAAACTGCATTATTTATTGGCTAAAACCAAAGATTTCAGAGTATCTATTTGAGATTTCAGACTTGTTGCAGCTTATCACAGGTAAAACTTTTAGTCTTTAATAATTCTATTAAATTGAAATTGCAGAATATATACAATAAATTGTGTTCAAAAGAGAAAGTGAAAGTACAAAAGTAAGCGAACAAAAAATTAATGCATGCATTTTTCACATTCTGTTACATTTTGCAGTTTTGGACCCAAATGCAGACGCAGACTCAAGATGAATTAAAAGGGTTTACTGGAAAGGTAGTGGGGTATTGAGGTAGCTGAAACAGGGCCGAGAGGAATGACATGGTTTACTGGATGTGGCTGGTGGATATCTGATTGAAAGTTGGCAAGCGGACAGTTGAGGTGTGGTCGTGGAGCACAAAAGAGGAAGGAGTAAAACATAAGAAACTAAGTAGAATCTTAGGACACAAGCAGAGACTGCTGTGGATACTACCACTGTTGACTGAATGAGATGGTACTGGTTGATTGTATTTGGAATTGAAAGATGATGAGCAAATATAGGCTAGATTAGCCAGGTGGGAGCTGTGATAAGCTGATAGCAGACTGCAGTGCACCAGAGCAAAGTTGGGAGCCAAGAGGTAAAACATACATACACAGGAGCATACAATACAGAGGAACACAGCAGACACAGACAAGGGGAAAACTCAGAAAAACATGATGGAAAATGTACGACCATGGCCATGACACTTTTCACTAGTAAATACAAATACTTTAGCAACATTTTAGAGAAAATACAAACTTAAGATAAAATTCAAATACTGGTTTCAAAAAAATCTGCAGAAAAGAAGGTATAGTAGGTTAAAAAACTTACTTAATCCAGAAAACACATTTCACTTCTTAATAACAAATTTTAAACACATATTTATCAGTATAGATATTAAAAAAACTAATTTCAAGAGTTGTCCTTGTGGAATGACGCGGTGATGGTTTACCTCAAGTAATGTTTCTGAAATTGAGTAATTAAGCTTTATCTTCGGTACTCCAAGTTTCTTTTTGAAAATGACATGATAAAACTAAACCACAGTTGGTGGTTAATAACCATGAGTTGATATTCCTAAACTACTGAACTTGAAAGACATACCTCCCGTTGTAGTTGTTGTTGTCTGTCTGGAGTTTTATACACTGATGTGTATTGTGTGACATGTATTTTTCAATGTTTTATCCTTTCGGTTTCTTTTGTGTCATGTGATTGAAAGAATTGACACAAAAAAAAATGAACAGAAAGGAACTAAGGGTGTGGTCAGGTGTGCCACACATAACTGTTGCTTGAGTTGTCTCTTTGCTGTTTTTGAAAAAGCTTTTTCCAATTTTACTAACATAAACTGTTTTCACATGTTACATGTAAATGTGGGACTATTTTACTCAAATATGTTTTTATTTTTCAACACCTACCTTCATCTCACATTCATCAAATGTCAGTTCAACTGGTTTCAGTTTGTATTATGTTTCAGAGAGTTCATTTTTCCTTACACTCCAACTTTTTAGACAAGGGACACACTTCAGCTGAAGTTCAGCACGTCCACTTACAGCTTATTTCCGTAATTGCATTTTAACATCAACTTTAACAAATGTTTGAACTGTGAATTTTCAGAAAGCACTCTCAAAAACTCTCATTTTTTTATTTGTGGATTATGGTACTATACTGTGTGTCGCCCACAGGACACACAGAGGATGACTTCAAAACAAAAGCACATTTACTCCGTTCTGCAGAATTTTACTAGATATTAGAAATCTGTATGACTAAGTCCTAAAATAATTAATAGTAAATAAATCAACAACAATTTAATCATAAGCAGCAAGGAGAGGGAAGTGTCTCAATATGGTGGCAGTCCATTAATATGGCACATATATATTCTAAATGTTGTGTTGTCAGAGTGTGTATGAAACAATTTTGTTTTTAAAAGTTGTTTGTTCTAACCTGGTTTTTCCTGTGCTTCAGGATTGCCAACACCTCTTCTCCCTTCTCATCTACATACCGCTTCAGCAAAGTTACCAGGGAGGTGAATTCTGTGTAATCATCATAATTACTCCTACAGTCATTTACAGAATATGCATTAATGGGGACAGGGCACACTCCTCTGGTCAGCCTGGAGATGACAGCAAATCAGCAGAAAAGGAGGTACCAAAAGTAAAAAAAAAAAAAGAAAAACCCACAGCGGTTAGATTGCTTAATCCAAATTTCACTGTATCAGTATAAATATTATAAAGACTTTTAGTTGTACGTGTGGAAAGAAGTGCATCTACCTCAACTTCATGAAAAAGCAGTTGTCTGATGACAACAACAGCGGCACCCATGGAAGCACAAATGTTAAATGGTAAACCATAACCTAAATGGCAATATAAAGTATATAGTTTCCGCTGCAAAGAAATTACCCAGATGAACACATACATCAACAGCTGCTTCTTTCCCAATGTAAGCTTATAGTAAAAAGTTTTTTTGGACCAGTGTGCATCACGTGACGGACGCCATTGCTTTACTTACACGGTTCGGTCGCTATGTTAAGTTGGCTTCAAAGCCCGGCCCCCAACACTATTATACTGTAGCAATTCTGTTAGCTTCACCTAGCTAACACATGACAGAGTAGCAATGCTCACAAGACCCGCTGTATAACTCGCCTGGAAGTTGCAACACTCCCAGATGGTTCCCGCTATCCCCTAGCCATATCAGACTATCCATAACAGATAATAAATGCTTGCCTGCCCTTGAAGGAATAGAATATCTAGCTGGAACAGATGTGTGTTATGTCTTGGCCTGAAATGTCCAAGCCAGCTTTGAGTCCACGGAGGAGTGCACATACACATTGTACACAGATAAATCTGACCAGTGTGACACAATCATGACCTTCGTTGCAACGAGTCAGGAGCCGAGGATGTCACTGAGACAATGGCTCCCACAGTTAAAGCTCGACTTTTTGCAATACAGTATAGTGTACTGTATGGACTAGAAGGAATTAAATAAAGGGAAACTAATGTTGCATTTCATTAATTTAGTTTTTTATTGTGGTTTTACCTGAACAGCAGTACCGTAGTACGTATATATAACAGGTTCAAACATTGAAACACACACATATGCTGTTAAAACAACAGGTGCAGATTATGTAACCAGATGTCTAAATAAATTGAATATATATTTTCAGCCACATTTAGCCCAGTTTTAACTTCAACATTTAGATGTCTTTGGACCTGCTAATCACCAGATTCATGATTACTGGGAGACTACAACTCCAGAATTTACCACCTGAATCAACAAAGCATAGCTAACAATGCAACAATGCAAAAACTAAACTGCATGATGAGAATGATACAAGTCTGCTTTATGCACATGCAGGTTTTAAGCCTTTATGCATATTTTATTCAACAAGGTAAAATAGAGAACAGGTTATAAAATAACTTAAAGTGGATACTATATGCTTGCAAATGAAATCCAAATAGTGATACTGCCTACTGTATTTCCTTACTTCTACACATTTGTGTTTGCAAATTAGCTTTTTTCATGCTCTGATAAAGCAAGTATGTAGGTCTACAGGTTGTTGACAAAATCTTCTCCAAAATCAATCATCCGTCTCAGTGCGCTCAGTATCAGCGTATCAATGTCATCATCTGTGTAAATCTCTGAGTGGTAGTTCTTCACAGGAAAGATACAGTTCAGTGGAATACCCAGCGACACATTCAATTCCTCTATCTGAATTTGAAAAAATTGACAAATGAGAAATGACAACAAAATGTTGATCAATGGGCGTTTTTGTGTTGTCTGTAAATATTAAAATGTAAAGTGAAAATATATTCCAACTTTAATTTGAAAACTGTACAAACTCATGAAATCACAAATAGAAACATACCTTTTTCTTCAGGGACTTGCTCATGTACACGTTCCTTATATCTCTTTTGACCTCTGGACAGGCTTCATCAATTTTGGTGAGAATAGCCAGTTGGGGAATCCCTGCCGATACAGAGCAGAATGTGGGTCAATGATGATCATGTTTGTCAGGTTATTTAAATGAGCTTATTAAACCCAATAACTAATGCTAATCCTTACCCATGTCCCTGGCTCCAAGTCTGACATCCCTCATCTTTTTCACAGTTTCAACACTCAGTAAATTTACTGTGTTGGCAGGGATGACACAAACCAGAACATGAACTTTGTCATTTAGAGTGGGGGTTTTGTTGTAGTGACGATCATCTTCAGATATTGTAGAGTTAGGTTTGAACTAGAAAACAATTTGAAATTTGATTAAAGATTGATTATGCAAATAGTTTCTTATATGTATTTTATCTCAAAGCTGGACTGTACGAGTGAAATATATCCAACAAAGTTTAATGAATTCAGTAATTACATAATATCCATCTTTTATGTATCCCCTCATGGCCTGTTTGATGTCCTCCACACCAACTCCTTTGTCAGTTTTCTCAAGGCCCATGATGTCAGTGAAGGCAAAAGAGTAAAATGTTCCTGGTTCTCCTTTTTGGATTTTGTAAGTTTTGTACTGTAAAACAGAAAGGTGCAGTTATAATGACAATAATGCCACATGTTGAACAATGACCATGAAGCAGTTTGGCTCTTTTGCTCAGCACTGCTCCTAGTTGGATATGTTCTGCAATGATCATTGCAAGTGCAAATGAAATAAATTTAAGTACACAATAAAAGAGTTTTAAAATGTCGTGAAGATTTACAGTGCATGAAATACATCAACTTTGTTAAAACACAATCAATAGTGAAGTGTTTCTGGTGAATCTGTTGCCAAAGGTTGCATCAGACAAGCAGTGATTTTGCCCCGTAAAACACTTTCGACAGAATTGATGAAACTGGACTTGCCAGAACCAGTTGGTCCATAAAGCAGAATTCTGAGCTGGTTAAGGTCTTTGTTATGAGGCTGATAATCCCTCACATACTGAAGGTCTCTCTGTTTGTGGCTGTTCAATAAAGAGGTATCAATTTTTAATCTGGTTGAAAGTTGGCAAGCGGACAGTTGAGGTGTGGTCTTGGAGCACAAAAGAGACGATTAGGCAGGAGTACAACATAACAAAACTAAGAAATCACTTAGGAAACTTAGGACACAAGCAGAGACTGTTGTCTGAATGAGATTGAAATACTAAGCTGAAGAGCAAATGCAGGGCAGATGAAACAGGTGGGAACTGTGATGAGCTGATAGCCGACTGCAGTGCACCGGAGCAAAGTTGGGAGCCAAGAGGGAAAACATACATACAGAGGAGCATACAATACAGAGGAGCACAGGAAACACAGAGGAGGGGAAAACACAAAAAAAACCTATGGAAAACGGCTGTGACAATGACACTAGTTTTAGGACAGTTGATGTCTGTCTGTTATCATTTGAGGCAAACTATTTATTTGTTTCTACATCCTTTGAGTTTCTTTTTTTTTCAGTGTTACTGGACACGTGGCCTTGTGATTCACACATTTCCAACGGTACTTTAAGGCACCATCACAACAGCTGAGCTGTTGACCAGAGTTCACATGATGAAGTCACATCACGCTAATAACATGAGGTTATTTGCACACTGTATTGTAGCCTACTTACTGATTTACTATTTAATTTAAGTATGATAAGAGAAAAAAACCTCAAACACCCCTTGAAAGGAGTTATTTCAAGACATAAAGAGAGCATAGAAAGATTTTCATATTAAGTCAATCAAATCACTTCAAGCCTAACACATCTTTATCATATATTTTACTTTCATTGACACCTCCAATTGCTTGTTTATTTGCCGCTATATACGACGGAGTATTAGGGCCAGACTAAGAAAAAAAAAATTAGAAGAATAAAGTCATAATGTTACGAAAATAAAGTCGTAATAATACAAGAATAATGTAATAATAATACAAGAAAAAAAGTTGTTTTAAAGGGAAAAAAGCTTCAATAGAGTTATCAAGATCTGACATGACCAGCTCAACCAAACAGCAGCCTCAGCCTGAGCCCAGCAGCCGCTGTCTGTCTCAGTCATACAGTACAGTCAACAAGTAAGCTAATGTATTGATCATTTTGTCGTTAAACAGTTTTGCTGGCTGAGCCAACACGCTGACAGTTCTCATAAAATTACGACTTTATTCTCACAATATTATGATTTATTCACGTTATATTACGACTTTATTCTCGTAATCCCCCCCCCCCAAAAAAAATATTGTTTTCTCTTAGTATGGCCCTAATACTCTGTTGTAACTATAAGAGGCCAAGTCTCTCCTCAGTTTAGTTTGTATGGAGGTGGGTGTGGTTTACACTGCAAGAGAGAGAGGTGTGGAGAAGGCTTGTGAGAGCAGCACCAGGTGAGTTGATGATCACGGCTTGTACTCACTGAGCAATCACTCTCTCCTTATATTGCAGTAGTGTGCTGGACCTGGGCTGGCTGCCACAGACAAGTTAGAGCATGTGAGGAGTTGTTGTATGTTTACTGTGGTTGCAGGTAACAGTTAATAAAAGTTGTGATTATCAAAGGACCTGTGGGATTGTATGCTGAGGGAACCCATGGTAGTAGAGAGACTTGCTACAGTTTGTTTTTTTGTTTGTTATTTCATAACTACTGTATCACAATACATTTGTAAAAACCACAAGACTGAAACATATTCAAATGTTCAGGAGAAGGCCTGCATGAATCACCTCCAATGGACTGCATTATAGTATAGTGTACTGTATGGACAAGAAATAATTAAATAAAGGGAAACTAATGACACATTTAGTTATTTTTAGTTTTTATTGTAGTTTTACCTGAACAGCAGTTCTATAGTGCATTGATTAGATATGTAACAGGTTCAAACATTGAAACAGAAAATGCTGTTGGAACAACAGGTTCAGTATATGTAACCAGACCTTTTAACCACATTCAGCCGAGCTTAGACTAGACATTTAGATGCCTTTTGACCTGCTAATCATTTAGTTTATATTTAATGAGAGACAACAACACCATAAATCCATACCAATACCTGAATCAACAAAGCATAGCTAACAATGCAATATCGCAAATTATAAAATGCATAGTTAGAATGAAACAAGTCTGCTTTATGCACCTGCAGGTTTCAAGCCTATATTCATATTTTATTCAGCAAAGTACAATACATAACAGGTTATAACTTGGAATCGAAATACATTACACGCTCGCAAATGAAAACTAAATAACAATGCCCATCTAGCTTGTTAATTTCTATACATTCCTGTTTGCAAATTTGCTTTGTTCATGTTACAATAAAGCAAGATTTTCTAATGCAGCATGTAGGTCTACAGCCTGTTGACCAAGTCCTCTCCAGAGTCAATCATCGGTCTCAGTGCGTTCAGTATCAGTGTATCAATGTCATCATCTGTGTAAATCTCTGAGTGGTAGTTCTTCACAGGAAAGATGCAGTTCAGTGGAATACACAGCAACGTACTCAATTCCTCCATCTGAATTGGAACAATTTGACAAATGAGAAATGAGAAAAAAGTCCCGAACAAAGCATTTTTGTTTTAGAATATTGAAATGTAAAGAAATATTCCAGCTTGAATAAGTTTCTACAAACTGATAAAATCACAAATAGAAACATACCTTTTTCTTCAGGGACTTGCTCATGTACACGTTCTTTATATCTCTTTTGACGTCTAGACAGGCGTCATCAATTTTGGTGAGAATAGCCAGTTGGGGAATGTCTGTAGATGCAGAGCAGAATGTGAGTCAATGATGATCATGTTTGTCAGGTTATTTGATTCAACTTATGAAACCAAATAACTAACCCTAACCCTTACCCATGTCCCTGGCTTTGAGTCTGACATCCCTCATCTTTTTTGCAGTTTCAGGACTCAGTAAATTTACTGTGTTGGCAGAGACAACACAAACCAGAACATGAACTTTGTCATTTAGAGTGGGGGTTTTGTTGTAGCTGTGATCATCCTCAGATATTGTAGAGAGAGGATTGAACTGGAAAAAAAATTTATTTGATCAAAAGACAATCATGCAAATAGTTCTGATGATGTATTTTTATGTGAATTAAATTGTTTATTCTAAACAGATCTCAAAGCTGGACTGTATGACTGAAACTGTCAGACAAAGTTTAATGAATTCAGTAGTTACATTATATCCATCTTTTACGTGTCCCCTCATGGCCTGTTTGATGTCCTCCACACCAACTCCTCTGTTAGTTCCGTTCTGAAGGCCCACAATGTCAGTAAAGGCAAAAGGGTAAAATGTTCCTGGTCCTCCTTTTTGGATATTGAAGGTTCTGTACTGTAAAACAGAAAGGTGCAGTTGTAATGACCATTTTTTTTTACCTTTATTGAAGAGACATTATTTTCTTATTAAATAGTCAATGAAGAGCCATTTGTTGTTTGTTACTGAAGATGCATTATTGTTTTGTTGAAGAGTTGTTGAAGAGACGTTGAAGAGACATTTATTTGATGTTGAAGAGGCATTTGTTAATTCTTAAAATAAAGTAAAGAGTGTTTCTTTTATTATTATTAAGCAGTTGGAAACTGATTATCAGGCTCCTTTTCCTTGAGTTGAGACTTGGGAAATCAGCACCACCACACAATGACCGTGAAGTAGTTTGGCTCTGTTGCTCAGCACTGCTCCTAGCTTAATCTATGCTGCAATGATCATTGGGAGTACAAATGAAATACATTAAAATAACAGGTGGAATAGTTGTTAAATGTTCTTAAGTTTTACAGTGCATGAAATACATGACAACAAGTAATTCATACTTCAGCAGTGAAGCTGTCGCCAGAGGTTGCATCAACTAAAGCCTGACGAGTGATTCTGCCTTGCAAAAGACTGTCGACAGAGTTGACGAAACTGGACTTGCCAGAACCAGCCGGTCCATAAAGCAGAATTCTGAGCTGTCTGAGTTCTTCATTATGAGGCTGATAATCCTCCACATACTGAAGGTCTCTCTCTTTGTGGCTGTTCAATAAAAGTGTATGCAGTTGTGCAATTTTTGTGCACTCACCCCCATGGTATTTTCCTCCATTCTTCAATAAGAGCTGTACATGTTGATGTAATATAGAAGCATATTTTAAGTAAATAAACTTGTTGCAGCTCATCACAGGTAAAACTGACCAACTTGATCTTATTCTTTAAGTCTTCAATAATTCTCTAAAATTGAAATTGCACAATATATACAATAAATTGTGTTCAAAAGAGAAAATGAAAGTAGGAAGGTGAGCTAACAAAAAATGAAAACATGGATTTTTCACTTTCTGTTACATTTTGAAAAGTTTTGTACCCAAATGCAGAAACAGACTCAGGAGTAAGATTAATTAAAAGGGTTTACTGGAAAGTTAGTGGGGTATGAAAGTAGCTGAAGCCGGGCGGAGAGGAATTCCGTGGCTAACTGGATGTGGCTGGTCGATATCTGATTGAATGTTGGCAAGCAGACATTTCAGGTGTGGTCGTGGAGCACAAAAGAGACTGTTAGGCAGGAGTACAACATAAGAAACTAAGAAAACTCTAATCTTAGGGCACAAGCAGAGACTGCTGTGAATACTACCACTGCTGACTGAATGAGCTGGTACTGGTTGACTGTATTTGGGATTGAAACACTAAGCTGATGAGCAGATGCCAGGCAGATGAGCCAGGTCGGAGTTGTGATGAGCTGATAGCAGACTGTGGTGCACCGGAGCAAAGTTGGGAGCCAAGAGGGAACACGCATACACAGGAGCATACAATACAGAGGAGCACAGGAGACACAGAGGAAGGGGAAACAAAAAAAAGCACAATGGAAAATGTACGCTTGTGTCCATAACACTTTCACCAGTTTTAGGACAGAAACAAAATATAAATATCCTCACAAATACAAATACTTGTAAAGAAAAAGAGAAAATGCAAACTAAAGATAGAATGAAAACTCACTTCAAGAGTTGTCCCCGTGGAAAGAAGCGGTGATGGTTTACCTCAAGTAACAATCCTGAAATTGAGTAATTAAGCTTTATCTTCTGTACTCCAAGTTTCTTTTTGAATATGACATGATATAACTGAACCACAGTTTCTTGTGTCAAAATTAAAGCAGTTAATAATCATGAATTGATGTTCCTAAACTACTGAACTTGAAAGACATACCTCCTGTCATAGTTGATGTCTGTCTGGCATTGTTTGAGACCAACTATTTTTTTGTTTTTAACATCCTTTTTTGTAATGTGACCGAAAGAATTTGCCAATCAGAAAGCTGTCCATGTGGGAACTAAAGGTGTGGTCAGGTGTGTCACACAACTGCTTCACACACACATTTGAACTGAAATTCAACACGTCCACTAACAGCTTATTTCAGTAATTGCATTTTAACATCAACTTTAACAAACGTTTGGACAGTGAATTTTCAGAAGGCACCCTAATTTTAATTTATTTGTGGATTATGGAACTATAGTGTGTGTCACACACATGACGTCAAAACAAACACATTTACTCCTTTCTGCTGAATTTTACTGGACATAAGAAATCTGTATGACTAATTCTTAAGTGGACCATAAGTAAATCAAGTTTTAGTAAACAATTAACATATAACACGTATATCCAAAGTGTTGTGTTTTCAGGAAGTATAAAAAACCACTTTGTTTTTAAAGTTCTGTTCAGACATGAAGTGTGAGCGCTCTAGCTGGCTGTATTTCTGTTTGTCCATATTCCTCCCCTGTCTCCTCTTCCCTCGTTTGCCTGTGTATGTGTGTATTTGTTGAGGGCATGGATACCTTTCCCAGCGCCTGGCTTCATCCACACCTGGTCTCATTCAAGTCATCAATACTCAACCCCAGCTCTCCAAAAAACCTCAAATCAACTCTATTAGGGACCGAGCCAGCGACCGCTGGAGGTCCCTATTGTTTTTGCTCGATTTCTTCTTCTTACCTATTATTATTTTTAGCCCCATTGACTGCATTTTTGCCCCCCTGAACATATACGAAAAGTCAATTTTATTTGGCGAAGTTGTCAGGCCTGGTGAAAATGGGGATATTCTTTGGGTCGCTTTCGGGTTGGCCACTAGGTGGCGCTACTATCATAAAAAGTGCGTTTATGCGAATAACTTCTGCATTGTGTGTCGTACATTCATAAACCTTATATCCACGCGTTCGGTGAATGGAGCTGAATCTCCCCATATAGGCCCCGCCCACTTCCGCCTATAATTGTTTTTCGATAGAGCGCGAAATGTCCTTAAACTACTTTTTCATGTTCCTCCTACACGCTTTGTCTGATTCGCATGAAAATTTTCACCTAGCACCTGGGGACCGCCCTGGCAAAAAGAGTATTTCTAACATTTTTGAAATTTCAAAAAATAAGAACGCTATAAAATTCCAACATCCTGTAGATTTTTTGTCAAAAAAGGAAGTGGACCATTTCTCCACATTGCTATGTCCGATTGACACCAAACTTGGGTCCATAGTTCCACATGTCTTCCTTAAGCATCGTCCACAATTTCAGGCCATCGCCACTAGGTGGCGCTCTTTAAAATGTAGAAGTTTATATCTCTACAACGGTATGTGTGATTAAGATTAACTTTGTACAATGCTTCCCCATGGCTCCCTGAGGCTCGCTAAAAATGTGTCAACAATCCGTCACTAGGTGGTGCTCTGGTGGCATGGTAAATCACTGTGTGGAGACCGTAATAGTTATGAATATGAAATTCACAAGGCACGTGTAGAGTGGTGCCTGAAGCTCACATACCAAAAATCATGTTTGTCGTGTTTGTAGCGCCCCCTACAGGATAAAAAAACAGCAGCCCCGGCGCCATGTTTCAACGATATGTACGAAACTCGGTAGGCATGTGTAACATGCCGGGACGTAACAAAAAGCCTCTTGAACCCATACCCGAAACCCCACAGGAAGTCGGCCATTTTGATTTAAAGTTTCACTTTCGGCGAACTTTTTGCGCTGTATTTGAACAAACTCCTCCTAGGGAATTTATCGGATCTGCTTCAAAATTGGTCAGTACAGTCAAAAAATGGTGCTGATTAAAAGTTGTGCTATTTGTGCATGTACATTAAAGGGCGTGTCCTTGGCGTGCCCTCAAAGTTGGCCAGGTTGAATCAAATGTCAAACTGTGATGCTATTTCCAGCATTTAAGGGCTTCTGTTTTAACTAACTCCTCCTACAGATTTTATCAGATTGACTTCAAATTCGATCACTTCAATCTACACACATTGGTTATCAAAAGTTGTGCTATTTGTGTATGTATGTTTAACCGTGTGCCCGTGACGACGTGTCGATTGGCCATCAAACAGATAGTACACATATCTTCAGTGTACAGTCCCACCCTGAACACTTCCTCATAACTTAGCGTACGTGATCCAATCTCAATGAAACTTCATGTGTTTGATAACAGTCCCACCCTGAACGTCTACATGACAATATTCAGACATAGTGATAGCGCCACATACTGGTAACAGGAAGTATCACGTTTTATACTTTCATGTTCTACTCCTCGCAGGATGATCAGATCCAGCTGAAATTTACTTATAAAATGCAAAACATATTGTTGATGATATGTGTTGACTGTGGTGAGGGGGCGTGTCTGTGGGGTGGCGGGAAATTTTGATGGACCGCCACAAAACACGAATTCGCTGTAACTTGAGTGTACATTGCCCAATCGGCTCCACACTTCAAATGCTTGATAACAGTCCTGCCCTGAACACGTGTACATGACAATATTCAGACATAGTGATAACGCCACCTACTGGCAACAGGAAGTAAGTGCTGCGTGGCGATTTTGAGCTGAGTTACATGAAATGATCGTGCCAGTGACGACTTGTGGAATTCAGCAGATTCGCCATAAAACAGCACTCATAACTTCAGTGCGCAATGTCCAGTCTCCAGTAAACTTCATATATTCTGTAACAGTCTCGCCCTGAACACGTCCTCATAACTTCAGCGTATGTGGTCCAATCTCAATGAAACTTCACGTGTGTTACAACAGTCCCACCCTGAACTTATCTACATGACAATATTAAGACATAGTGATAGAGCCACCTACCAGCAACAGGAAGTAAGCGCTGCGTGGCAATTTTGAGCTGATTTACGTGAAATTTCATGTTTTGGTCCACACGTGTAATGATGGCACGCGACGTGGCCACAGCACGCCCCGAGTTGCGTGGAGTGCGAGGTCCCGCTCAACGCTGCTTGCAGCTTTAATTTATATAGCTTTTTTCATACAAACATGCAACCCAAAGTGTATATAGCGAAATTTAAACAACACAGACAAAAAAACTAATGCGTGGACTTTCTGCATCTGTTTGTGACAGGATGTGTTGGATTTTTGGAATGTTATGAAAGTGAAAAAAGGAAGTCCTGGAGGTTTGCTTTATGTGGGAGTTAAAGGACATATCCTGATCAAAGATAACTCCCAAGATTCCTGATGGTGGTGCTGGAGGCCAAGGTAATGCCATCTAGAGTAACTATATTTTTAGATAATGAGTTTCAGAGGTGTTTGGCGCCGAGTACAAGACCTGTAGTTTTGTCTGATTTTAACATTTGAAAATTGCAGGACATCCAGGTTTTTATGTCCTTAAGGCATGTTTTGTAATTTGGCTAATTGATTCATTTCACAAGGCTTGATCGACAGGTATAACTGGATATCAGCATAACAGTGAAAGTTAATGCGGTGATGGGCGGTGATTCATTTTGTCTCTAATAGTAATAATTGTATCATTTGAGAAGCTCATGAAGTTGTCTCTACTGAGGGCTATAGGAATTCAGGGCTCAATAGAGCTGTTACTCTAGATAGATAGATAGATAGATAGATAGATAGATAGATAGATACTTTATTCATCCCCAAGGGGAAATTCACAGTTTCCAGCAGTATCCACAGACTAGGATAAAACAGAAGATTTAAAATTTAAGGAGACATGCAAAGTACTACTAATAATAATAACAATAATAACAACAACAACAGGAGGCAAAATGCTAAAGAATCAATAAAATCA